GCAATGCACAAGTGTTCTAATCTCTCCACATCCTTGCCAGCACTTGCTACTTTGTTTTTTGCTTTGATAGTTGCCGTCCTAATGGGTGTTAGGTGGTATCTAATTATTGTTTTGATTTGCAGTTCCCTCATGATTAGTGATATTGAACATCTTTTCATGCGCTTATTGGCCATTTGTATACTTTAGAGAAATGTCTATTCAAGTCCTTAGCACATTTTACAATCAGATTGTTTGTAGGAGTTCTTTATATACTCTGGATGTTAACTCTTTATCACATATATGATTTGCAAATATTTCTCCCCTTTTATGGTTTGCCTTTTCACCTTGTTGATAGTGTCCTTTGATGCACACAGGTTTTTAATTTTGATGAAACCCATTTTATCAAATGTTTTTTGCCTGTGCTTTTGGTGTCATATCTAAGAAATTATTCCCAAATCCAATGTCATGAAGATTTTCTTCTATGATTTTTTCTCATGGTTAAGTCTTTAACCCATTTTGAGTAAATTTCTATATGTGATATCAACTAAGGGTCCAACTTTATTGTTTTTACATGTGGATTCTCAGTTTCCCCACCACTATTTGTTGAAACTACTGTCTCTTTCTCGTTGAATGGTCTTATCACTTTTGCTGAAAATCATTAGTCCATATATTTGGGGTTTATTTTGGGGCTATTTCATTGATCTGTTGTCTCTCTTTATGCCAATACCACGCTGTTTTAACTCATATAGTTTTTTTAGTAATTTTTGAAATCAGGTCATATGAGACCTCCAACTTGTGTCTTCTTTTGAAATTCCATATGAATTTTAAGGTGGATTATCCTACTTATATAAACAATGTCATTTGGATTTTGATAGGAGTTAGCGCTGAATCTGTTAGATAGCTTTAGGTAGTATTGACATCTTACCAAAATTCTTCTAACCTATGGACATAGAATGTCTTCCCGTTTGTTTATGTCTTCTTTAATTTCTTTTAGCAATGTTTTAGTGTTCAGTCAGCAAGTCTTTTGCCTCCTTGGTTATGTTTTCTCCTAAGTATTTTATTCTATTTTATCTCAAATGGAATTGTTTTCTTAAAATTATTTTCAGTTATTAATTGTTAATGTATAGAAATGCAACTGATTTTTGTGTATTTGTATTCTGAAACTTTGCCGAATTTATTCATTAGTTCTAAAATTTTTTTTGTGGAATCTAGGGTTTTGTACATATAAGATCATGTCATTTGCAAAACAGGTAATTTTACCTCATCCTTTCTAATTTGGATGTTTTTTATTTCTTTATCTTGCCTAATTGCCCTTGCTGGGACATCCAGTACTATGTTGAATAAAAGTGGTAAGAGTAGGCATCCTTGCCTTTTTTCTGATCTTAGAGGAGAAACTTTTAATTTTTCACCATTTTGAATATGCTGTTGAGAGCTTTTCACAGATGGCCTTTATTATGTTGAGGCAATTTCCTTATGGTCTTAGTGTGCTTTTTATCTTGTAAGGATGTTGAATTTTGTCAAATACTTTTTCTGTATCGGTTGAGGTGATTGTGTGTTTTTTCCCCCCTTCATTTTGTTAATGTGTTGTTACATTGATTTTTCACATGTTGAACCATCCTTGCATTTCAGGAACAAATTCCTCTTAGTCATGGTATTTAATCCTTTTAATGTGCTATTGAATTCTGTTATTGTTTTGTTGAATTTTTTTTTTTAAATCAGTGTTCATTTTTCTTTAAATATTTGGTAGAATTCTAGTGAAGCCATCTAGTTCCGAACATTTATTTGCTGAGATATTTTTTGATTACCGACTCAATCCCCTTACTGGTTATAGGTCTATACAGAATTTCTATTTATTCATGATTCAGGCTTGTTAGGTTATGTGTTTTTTAGGAATTTGTTTATTTCATCTAGGTTTTCAAATGTGTTGGTATATAATTATTCATAGTATTCGCTTATAAATCTGTTTGTTTATAAAATTGGTAGTAAAGTTTCTTCATTTCTGATTTTAGTTACTTGAGTCATCTCTTTTTTCTTCATCAGTCTAGCCAAAAATTTATCAATTTTGTTGACTTTTTCAAAGAACCAACTCCTGGTTTTGTTGATTTTTTTTTTTCCTTATTTTTCTATTTTTACTTCGTTTATCTCTGCCCTAATTGCTATTATTGCTTTTCTTCTAGTTCTAGGCTTTACTTGTTCTTTTTCTAGTTTCTTAAGGTGTAAATTTAGGTTGTTAATTTGAAATCCTTTTCATTTTTAATATGAGCGTTTACAGTTCTAACTTTCTTTCTTAGCATTGTTTTTGCTACGTCCCATAAGTTTTGTTTTTTGTGTTTTCGTTTTGTCTCGATATGTTTTATATCTTGATGAAGTATTTTTATTCTTTGGATTTTTTTTTAAATTTCTTCTTTGACCTATGGATTTTTTAGAGGCTGTTGTGTCCTTGGATATAAAGTGAGTTTCTTGTAGACAGCATATAGTTAGATCTCATTTTTTATCCATCCTGTCAATTTGTGTCTTTTGCTTGGGTGGTTTAATCTATTTACATTTATAATGATTACTGATAAGGAAGGACTTACACTTGCCATTTTGTTATGTGTTTTCTGTGCATCTTTTAGGTTCTTTGTCCCTCGTTTCTTCTCACCGCCTTCATTTGTGTTTAGTTTATTTTTTATAGCGACACATTTTGATTCCCTTATTTCCTTTTGTATATGTTCTATAGATTGTTTTGTATGGTTACCATGGGGATTACTTATAGCATCTTAAAGTTATAACAATCTATTTGAACTGATACCAACTCAACTTAGATTTCATATTAAAACTCCTTTCAGCTTCACCTCCCCCACTCTGTTATCGATGTCCCAAATTCTATCTTATATATTGTGTACCCCTTAATATACTTTTACATATTACCTTAATATAGATTTATAATAATTATTTTATGCATTTGTCTTTTTAACCTCATAAAATAAAATGTAGAGTTACATACTAAAATTATAATACTGGTTTTTATATTCGTCCATGTATTTACCTTTACTAGAGAACTTTATGGTTTTGTATGGCTTCAAGTTACTCTCTAGCTTTATTTCAAATTAAAGGACTCCCTTTAGTATCATTGGGCAGGTCTAGTGGTGATGACTCCTTCAGCTTTCATCTGGGAATGCCTTTAATTTCTCAATTTTGCAGGACAATTTTGCCAGATATAGAATTCCCAGTTGATAGTCTTTTCTGTCAAGACTTTATATCATCCCACTGCCTTTTGATGTTCAATGTTTCTACTAAGAAATCTGCTTATTATCTTATTGAGGACCTCTTGTATATGATGAGTTGCTTTTCTCTTGCTGCTTTAAATAGTGCTGTTTTAAAATGTCAATTTCCAGTTGTTTATTGCTATTATATGGACATAAAATTAATTTTTTTATTGACTTATATCACTCAGAATGTTTATGCACTCCCCTCATTCATATATTGAAATCCTAACCCTCATAGTTGATGGTAATTAGGAGGCAAGGCTTTTGGGAGGTGATTAAGTCATGAGGTTGGAGCCCTCATGAATGGGATTAGAGGCCCTATAAAAGAGACCCCATAGTGCTCCCTAGGTCCTCTGCCATGTGAGGATACAATGAGAAGGCACCATCTATGAACCAGAAAGTGGGTTCTCAGACATCAGATCTTCTGGTACTTTGATCTTGGACTTCCTAGCCTTCATGAGAAGTAAATTTCTATTGTTTATAAGCTACTCAGTCTATGGTATTTTGTTATAGCAACCCAAATGACAATTTCCTTATCCTAGTGTCTTCAGGATCTGTGGCAACACCCCTTCTTTAATTCCTAATGTTATCTTTTTTTTTTTCCTCTCTTCCTTTGTTGGTCTGGCTAGAGGCTTATCAATTGTATTGATTTTTTTTTTTCAAAGAATGAACTCTTTTTCAAAGAGTCTAATTGATTTAATTTTTTTTCTGTTTTCAACTTTATTTATTTTATGTTTATTACTTTCTTGTTCGCTATGAACTTAATTTGGTCTTCTCTTTCTAGTTTCTTAAGGTGGAATTTTAGGCCATTGATTTGAGACTTGCTTTTTTTCTACTATAATGTAATGCTATAGATTTCCCTTTAGGCACTACTTTTGCTACATCTCACAAGTTTTGAAATTTTATGTTTTGGTTGCATTCAATTAAAATGATCTAATTTCCATTGTGACTTTTTGACTCATGGTATTTAGAAATGTGTTGTTTAATTTCTAAATATTTGGGGATTTTCCAGATCTTTCTATTATTGATTTTCGGTTTAATTCCTCTGCTTATAGAACATAGTTTGTGTGTGTTAAATTTGCCAAGGTTTGTTTTGTGGTCCAGAATATGGTCCATCTTGATGAACATTCTGTGTGCACTTGAAAAGAATGTGCATTTGGCTATTTTTGGGTGGAGCATTCTATGAATGTCACTTAGGTTAAGTTGATTAGTTGTGTTGTTCAGGTCTTCTGCATCCTTACAGAATTTCGGTCTACTTTTTCTACTGATTACTGAGAAAGGAATGTTGAATTCTTCAACTATAATTTTGGGTTTGTCTGCTTTTTCCAGTTATATCAATTTTGATTTATATTTGTCTTTTTGTATTTGGCTTATTTCAGCTAGTACAATCCTTTGTATTTTTTATTTATCCATTGAGCATGAGGTCACTTGTCCTTTTCACTTCATCAAATTACTGTTTGAAATAATATGAAATAGTTAAAACCTAATAGATACTATATAAATTTAAGGTATATAAACACTAGTAAATATTATCTGAAAGCAGGGAACTCATCTGCTGTCAACATGTAACTGTAAGTGGGTTTACTTTATAATTTAAAAATTATTCCTATTAGGAATCTGGGGGTATTCTAAAATTCAAAATTAGGGAACATCATCTTACAGGAAAGAAACATCTTAAGTGATCACTTGTGAGATGTTTAAGTAATGTGTGATTCAGTATTTCATTCACATTGTTTTACTTGAAAAACTTTATTGTATTTCTTTTTTTTTTAGGATTCTAATTCTCAGATGGATTTAAGCATTCAGGGAACTGATGATGATATTAATGAAATAATTCAAATAGATGGGACTGGTGATACATCTTCCACTGATGACATAGGAAGTTCAAGAGATGTGGATGAGAATGAATTTCTAGGGATTATTGATGGAGGAGACCTGAAGGTACTTGAGGAAGCTGACAGTATATCAAATGGAGGTTCAACTGCCAACAGTAGTGATAATGAAGACCCTCAAATAGACATTGTGGAGGAGGTGAAGATTACTTTTGAACTGCAAATTCTTTAGTAAATTTATAACATTTGTACTTTAATATACTTTGGAGTTAAGAGGAATAATAAGATTAACTCTGTGTTTTAAAATGAGACTTATTTGTACACTAATATTTAAACTTTTAAACTGTAATTTAAACCGCTATTAAGAATTTAGGATTCAGCTACTGTATTTGTTAGTTTTAACTAGAGATAATGGGAGGTTTAGGGGATGGGAGTGGAGGTAAAGAAGGCAGTCAGAGTAGAGACATATCTGATCTAATTCTGACAAATGCACTGAAGTATTTGTGGAATATGGTAATTAAGAAGCATGTAAGTAGTATTAACTGTCATTTATGGTAGCTTTACATATGTTCCAGATGCCATATTAAGTCTTAATTGCCTTATGTTATTTGACATTCCTACTGCCCTATGGGTCTTGTTACTATCCTCATTTTTTCAGATGAGAAAACTGAGACATGAGGAGTTTTAGTAACTTGCCAAAGGTCAGTAGTTTTTAAGTGGCTGAGCTACGATTTAAACTCAGGCTATTTGACTTTTAAGTACACTACTATTCTGTCTCTTCTTTTTCCTTTTTTTACATATGTCTATCTTTTAAAAATTCAAAGCACGATTCAATTTCTTAATGTAACCATCTTTCATCATTAGGATCCTTTAAATTCCGGAGATGATGTTAGTGAGCAGGATGCACCAGACCTGTTTGACACAGATAATGTAATCGTCTGTCAGTATGACAAGGTACTGTATTCACCTTTTAGACTTTGGGTTTATTAATTGCATTAATAGTAGAAATTTTACATGTAAAATAATGGGAAATATGGAGAATTATAGTTCATAGTTAAATTAATCTTGAAATAGCTAATTCTGTAAGTTTTAGGGGTGTTACTTTGGATCTAACACTGTGCTGGTGGTCTCAATGATACAAAAAAAGAGTGATAGTCTTTGTTTCAAGGAGGTGACAATATTATTGAAACAAGATTTCTGTGTGGAATAATAGAGTGGTGTATAATAAGATGGTAGATAAACCAAAAGCTAAAATCTGTGACAGGTACATCAAATATTAAGATAAGTGGCTAAGATATGTGGCACAGGACAGTAAGTCCTAGAAATGGCTAGGAGATACAAGAAATCACTTTCAGTTGGAGTTCTCCACAAATCTTTGGTGGGTGATGTGGAGTTTCGAAATAGGTCTTGAATGATTTGCTGGATATAGATAAGTGTGGAGAGTGGCATTCAGAGTGGAATAGGCTGATAAAAGGCAGAGAAATGAATGCATGTAGAATGTAAAAGGAACAGTGTAGGGACAACTCGGCCTTGACTAAAGTGTTCTCCTTTGGATGTATTAGGAAATGAGGCTGAGTTGGGAGCAGATTGGAAAATCCAGAATCCTGCTAAGGAGAAATCCAGATTTGATTTGATGGACATTAGCCTTCTAAGAATGTTATTGGAAAAATTGTAATTGTGTTTAAAAACTGGCAGTATTTTCTAATTTGGAAGAGGCAAATGGTAAGAACAAGGATAGTGCAGACATGAAGTAACCAGATACCAGACTAAGAATGGCAGTGTAGATTGTGGAAGAGTCAGAGGTTATGATGGCAGAATCAGTGGGACTTGGCAATTAATTGGATATTAGAGAATGATCAACAAGGGAGGGTTGAAGATGTCTCTCAAATTTCAAGCCTAGAAATTAGTAGCAATTTAACTTGAGCAACTAAAATATAATACTTTTTTCTTTTTAAAAGAACACTATAACTGATTATGTAGTAGAATGGTCAATTTTTATTCTTAATTCATGTGTATTTACATATTTATATTTTAGAAGTTTTGAGATGCAATTTATATACTACACAATTTACCTATTTAAAGTACGCAATTCAATGTTTTTTAGTATATTCATGGATATGTGTAACCAATAACATGGTCAGTTTAGGCTATTGCTATCACCTCAAAAAGAAACCCCATCCCCACTGCCAGGCCTAAGGAACCGCTAGTCTACTTTCTGTCTCTTTAGACTTTCCTATTCTGGATTTTCCTATGAAAGGAATCATGTCATATGTGGTCTGTTGTGACTGGCTTCTTTACTTCATACAGTGTTTAAAGTTTCATCTATGTTGTAGCATGTAACAGGTCTTCATTCCTTTTTATTGCTGAATACTAGTCTTTTGAGTAGATATACCACATTTTGTTTTTCCATTCATCTGTTGATGGACATTTGGGTTGTTTCCACATTTTGGCTTTTGAGAATGATGCTATAAACATTTGTATACAACTTTTCATTTGAACATATATTTTCATTTCTTTTGGTGTATACCTAGGAGTGGAACTTCTGGGTCATGTGATAATAGTTTGAACTACTAGACTGTTTTCCAAAGTGGCTGTATCATTTTTAATTCCCTCCAACAGTGTATGATGGTTTAGGTTGTTCTGCGTTCTCACTAACACTTATTATCTGGGTTTTTGATTCTAGCCACCCTAGTGGGTGTGAAGTAGTACCTCATTGAGTTTTTGATTAGCATTTCCCCGATGACTAATGCATATTTACATCTTTGACTTTTTTTCAGTAACAATTCCAATATACCTGAAATAGAGGATTGTGTTTTGAATTGTAAAAATAAATATTTTTCTATAAAAACAAGATTATTTTCTTCCCTGTAACATTATATACAGATAGAAAAAGGCAATTTAGATTCTGGTAAACATAAGCATAGGAAGGAACATGTAATAGAAAAGGGACCGTTCTTAGTTTGAAACTTATTTTACTTTTTTTAAACAGTGTGTTACCTTCTGTGAAGAAAACATTTTAAGGCACTAAATTATATGTGTGCTCCATAGAGTACAAAGTACTTTCTTGATCATTTTGGATAGAATATCCTTTGTTGTACTTTGTTGTCGGAAATAGCTTGTAATTAATTACATAGTGCTTTGTATTTTTCAAAGTATTTTCTTATACATTGTCTTTTGCTTCTTACAACAAAGTTCTACCTAATGTTCTTCCCTATAACATTATATACAGATAGAAAAAGGCAAGTTAGATTCTGGTAAACATAAGCATAGGAAGGAACATGTAATAGAAAAGGGACCGTTCTTAGTTTGAAACTTATTTTACTTTTTTTAAACAGTGTGTTACCTTCTGTGAAGAAAACATTTTAAGGCACTAAATTATATGTGTGCTCCATAGAGTACAAAGTACTTTCTAGATCGTTATGGATAGAATATCCTTTGTTGTACTTTGTTGTCGGAAATAGCTTGTAATTAATTACATAGTGCTTTGTATTTTTCAAAGTATTTTCTTATACATTGTCTTTTGCTTCTTACAACAACCTTGAGCCTAATGTTCTTCCCTATAACATTATATACAGATAGAAAAAGGCAATTTAGATTCTGGTAAACATAAGCATAGGAAGGAACATGTAATAGAAAAGGGACCGTTCTTAGTTTGAAACTTATTTTACTTTTTTTAAACAGTGTGTTACCTTCTGTGAAGAAAACATTTTAAGGCACTAAATTATATGTGTGCTCCATAGAGTACAAAGTACTTTCTAGATCATTATGTGTAGGTAGAAGAAGTGATATTACATGTATAGTGTTAACAAATCGAATTGTCTGAGAGTACTCTCTAATTAGTTAATATTTTAAGAACAACACTAAGAATTTTAATGAAAACCAGGGCATTGAAGAACCATTGAAAAGTTTTTATAAGGGATGAAGTCAGAAGATAGCTAGTAAAGAAAATGTATCTGTAAGGTCAAAGTGGGGTGGAAGGGACCACTGTTATAGTGAATTTTTATAAAAGAGTAACTTACAGGTTCTGGTCATTGCTTACCTTGTTTCAAGTAGTATTGTCCGACTCAAGTAAACCGAAAGACTTTTCAGTAGTCTTTAAAGAGCTTTACTAAGTGTGTTTTGAAGGTTGGTAGTATCAGTTTCCTTGGGAGAGTGTTACAAATGTGGAATTTTGAGTCCTATCCCAGATTACTGGATCAGAATGTGCATTTTAACAAGAACCGCCCCCTCAAGGTGATTTGCATGCTCATTAAACTTTGAGACACTTTTTTTTTTAAAGTACATTTTTGACTTTGATTAGCATATGGAATTTACCTTTAAAATTTATAAATTAACAATTTGGGAAAACCTGCAAGTATTAAGATGTGCTATCAGGAAAGGTTAAATGAAGGTCACTGGTTAACATGCTGAGTGAGAATTAAAGTGTATGGACATGTTATTTCAGAAGCCCAGGGAATGTCTAAGAATATAAAGGTTAAAGTAATCATAGGGAAGATTAATGGTGAAATAAAACCTTTTACTATAGATAGGAGTATTTTATGCTATAAATAGGACACTGTTTGTAGTTGAGTGTGTAACTATTTGAATTTGTTGCATCTTCATTTGACAGTTTAACAAACTTTTGCTTATAGCTGGCTTTGTCCCTTAGGTGTTAGTACAGTGAGTAATTGTTAAGTGTATAGCACAGTATCTCTGTCTCTCTCCCTCTTTGTGAATGTTTTGTTTTTCTTAAATTGATAATGTATACATAACATTAAAAACAACAAAACACTATAAAGGTATACCATGAAAAGTCTGGTTCCCACTCCATCGCCATTTGTGCTTCCTATCAGCTCCCTGTCCCTGCTTTGAGTATAAATAAGTAACCGGTTATATTAGTTTCTTAATATAGAGTTTCTTGATTCAAGTACAAGCCTAAAAGGTAGCACAGACGACACTGTATTCTGCACCTTGTCTTTTTAAAGAGAGTAACAGTATATTTACTTTTATGTGAATTGCTTGTTCATAATCTTTGTCTATTTAAAAAAAAGTGGATTATTGGTTTATTTATTGATTTCTAAGAGCTCTATTATTTTGGGGAAAATTACCCTTGGTATGTGTAGAAATACTTTTTCTTCAGTTGCTTTCAATGCTTTTTCTGTCTTTCATGAAGATACTGAATTTGTCAGCCTTTATTTTTATTGCTTCTAAAATTTGAGTCATGACTAGAAAGTTCTTTCTTGCCTCAAGATTTTGAAGGAATTCATCTATGTTTTTTTCTAGGATTTCTTTGGTTTCTTTTTTAAAATGCAAGGCTTTTTTTTTTTTTGTCTATTTCTTTTATTAGGTATGTGTAGTGTTGTCATGACTAAAATATTAATCTTTATATTTTAGAATAAATGATCGATTTGTTGTTTTGTCTTGGTCTAGAATGTGACATATGGTTCCAGCTTTTTTCCCTAGGCGGTTACCCAATTTTTCTAATATTATTTATTGAAAAGTCTGTCTTGTCTGCACTGATAAGAGAATGATTTCTTTATCATCTACCAAATTTCTATATGTATTTGGGTCTACTTCTTGATTTTCTGTTTTATGCCATTGGTTTGTTCTTTGGCCTGTACTACCTTGACTTACTTATTGAGGTTTTTAACATCTAGTAGGGCTAGTACTTCTTCAGGATGTTCTTTTTCAGAGTTTTCCTGGATGTTATTGTTTATTTCTTCATAATGACTTCAGAATCAACTTGTCTGTTTCAAAACCAACCCCACTGGTATTTTCATTGAGATCACATTAAATTAATAGAATGTGGTATTTTAATAATGCTGAGGAGTAGGTTGTAATTTTAGATAGAATGTCCAGGGGAGGCCTTATTGAGAATATGATAGGGTAAAGCTCAAAAGAAGGTAAGAAAATGAGCCATGAGGGTATTTGGATGTAAGCATTTCAGATAAGGGGAACAGTAAATATGTAAGTCCTGAGGTAGACAAATACCTTTGTGTTCAGGAAACAGTGAGGAGGTCAGAGCAGTGAGTGAAGTGAAGAGCAGGATATTATAGTTCATTTTAAGTACTTTAGTTTTTGGATGGGAAGTCATTAGAGAGTTTTGAGCAGAGAAATGACATCTGGTTTATGTTTTTAATGGGACCACTCTGGCTACCATGTTTATAATAGACTGAAGGGGAACAAGGATGAAAACAGGGAAACTAGTTATGGGACACATTAATCCAGGTGAGAGAGGATGGTGGCTTAGACAAGAGTAGTAGTAGTAGTGGAGGTAGTAGAAGTGGTTGGAATAAGAAAATGCTTTGTAGATAGAACTAACATTTACTGATGGATTTGAATATGGGTTTTAAGTAGGAGACATAAAGAATGTCCCTAAGGTTTTTGGCCTGAGCACTTAGAAGAATGCATGGCCATTCTCCATTGAGATGAGGAAGACTGTGAGGTTTGGAGGAGAGGTGACCAGTGTCCTAATTTTAAACTTGGTTGAAATATCTATTGGACATTCAGGAAGAGATGTTGAAGCAGTTGAATGAAAATATGGAGTTTAGGGGAGAGTTGTCAACTGGAGATGTAAATTTTGGGTGTCATCAGCATATAGAAGGTATTTAAAGCCATGAGATTAGTTAAGATTACTAAGAAAGTGAATATAGCCAGAAAGAAGAGTCCTGTTGTACTCTAAAACTGAGAGATAAGATAGTTAAGGAGGAATCAATAAAGAAAACTAAAGAGTGTCCAGAGAGTTAGGTGAAAAACCAGGAGTATTCTAGAAGCAAAGTGAGGAAAATATTTCAAACAGGAGAATGTGTTGAATAGTGCCAGTAAATCAAGTATTTTTAAAATTTATTTCTAGCTATTTTATCTTTTGTTGCTGTGGTAAGTTGGCTCTTTCTGTATATCTCTTAACTGTATGTATATACATGAAGGCTACAGATTTCTATATATTAATTTTGTATCAATACTGAATTCTTATTTAGTCACTTAAAAAATTAACTTAGGTTTTTCATACTTTTTTTTCATATATTTTTCATACAGTGTGGTCATTGCATCTGTAAATTTCATCCTTTTCAATTTTTATATCTCGACTTCTTGTCTAATTGCATTGGCTAGAACCTCTGGAGTGAAAAGTTGGATAACAGTGGGTATCCTTGTCTATGTCTTGACCTTAGCGCGAACACTTTTAGGATTTTTCTCACTAAGCACTAGGTCAATGGTTTTTGGTCTGAGGTGGGAATGTGTGTGTAGGACATAGTCTTTGATTCTTATTTTGAGTTGAAAAATTAAAAATGTGTGAGTTTTGTCTAGTGCTTTTCCAGTATCATAGGAGGTGATTATATTATTTGTTCCCTTGTGTCTAGCAATATAGTTTTTATATTAATAAACTCCTAATATCGAATTTTCCTTGCATTTTAGAATAAATGTAGTCACTTGATATAGTAACTTGATAAAGCTACTGGGATGAGTTGTTGCTATTGTTGTTCTCCTAATTCTAGTCTGATTTTATCAACTTTGCTGAGTTCAGGATTCTGTTGTTACTTCCTGTTGAGACTTTTTAAGATACATGCAAGTGAAAATATGGGATTCAAACTCTGAGAAGAAATTTTCCATAATAGGACTTTTTTCTTCACAAAAATAGGGGGTTTATCCTTTGTATTTTCTTATGCTTCTACAAAATTCATCTGACTACTCGTCATAGACTTCTCTTTTTTGATTTGACTATTTGCAGTCAACAACTAGGTTTAATTTTTACCTTTGATTTCAGATTCCACATTTATACAGTTTTTAAAATACATAATCACTCGTGGTTTACCCAGAGGTGGTATTTTATAATTTCTTACCTCTTGTGGTAGTAGGATTTCCTAGTTTTTATTTTATCCTTATCTAGGCTGACTTATTGAGTTCAAAGAAGAGCCAATAGAATCTAATAGATTATAAGCTAATATCTTCAGACCTTGCTCAGTGCTTTATTATAGTGACTTTTTTCTTCAAAATGAAGTACTTTTTAAAATTTGTGATAATATTAACTACATCTTCTCTTTATTCCTTTGCAGACACATTGAATTTTTTGCTGTTCTTGAGCATTCCAGGCATGTCCCTTCTCAGGACTTTTGTGCTTCTGTTCCTTTGCCTGGAATGCTTTCCAGTCAGTATCTTCCTGGGTTTATCACTTGCCTTCTTCAAGTCTTTGCTCAAATGTTACCTCATAAGTCAGGCCCACTCTAACTTTCATATTTAAAATCATAACCCCACCTCTGTATTTGTGATCTTCCATTCCTCACTCTCTTTTTATAGCAGTTATCACCTTTTAATATTCTACATAATTTATGTATTTATCAGGTTTCCGTTTCCTCCATCCTTATTCAAATGTAAACTCTTCAAAGACAATTTTTCCTGTTTTTTTTTAAAGTATTTATTTCTTTTTTAAAATTGATATATATTCAGTGTTGAAAACTATATCAGACACACAGGAACCTCAAATATTTGCTGAACGAATGAATGAACTCTCTTAAGGAGATCTTATTTTTAAAAACTTCCATTCAGGGTCAGAATAATCCCATGTGATGTGCAAAGAAATGTAGATAACCCTTTGACTTTAAAACTAATTAATTTAGACTGTTTTTCTCCCTGCAGATTCATCGAAGCAAGAACAAATGGAAATTCTATTTGAAAGATGGTGTTATGTGTTTTGGAGGGAGAGACTATGTATTTGCAAAAGCCATTGGTGATGCAGAGTGGTAAAACTTATGAGCTCAGTACATCATAAACATTGATGAGACTATATTATGTATTGTAAAACTTTTATTTAAATATAGTCCACAGAGCTGCTCAAATTTTTAGTTCACTGTATGGAATTTAATAAAATGATTCAAATGCAGATACAAATATACAATTTTATATTCCATTTACTATTTTAACAGATTTTTTTAAAAACTCATCTATACCATTACAAAGTATAGATGCATCAGATATGATGGCATGCGAAGAACTGTTATATTTCCTTCATCTTGAAGTAAATTTTAAATCAGACTCCAATTCCCCTTCATAATGAAGTTAGTAGCAGTTATTAGATTGAGGCCAGTGTGCCTCCCAGCTCTCACCAAACAAGCAGCAGGATATTCAAGAAGGCTTCTCTGGGTCTTTCAGTCTACACTCCTTACTAGTCATGTGCTGATTGTGCAACGCTAGATGGTCCCCTGGAGGCAGATGTCTCTGCTAAGCCCATACTATACATGAACATGGAAATCTTTGCTAAGGCCAGAAGCTAAGAATCAGCCTCTCTGGGCTTATCTTGTGGCCAGGTCTTTCTTCTTGTATCTTGCTATCTCTCTGGGGAATTGTGAGGGAAGTGTGAGTTAGGTTCCCATTCTACTTCATTGAAACTTCAGACTTCTGTCCTCTTCCTAGTCATGGTGGGTTTTCTTTCTCTCCGTATTTTTTTCCTATTTTTCTTGAAGTGGAAGAACCCTTTGCAAACTCTTTATCCCTCAAAGACACCACCTCTCCTTTTTCTCTAACAGAGAATCCCCTCATTGACTTTAGGCTTTCTAAAACAAAAGGCAAGAAGAGATATTCTCTTCAGGAAACTGCTGCTTTGGCCAAATAAGATTGCCTAATCTCATTCAAGACAAGAAGACTTGAATGACTGTCTTAAAATCAGGGAGAGAAAACAAAATATATAACACAAATAGTTCTCATTTTCCTGCCCCAATAAAAACAAATTATCTCTATAAACTATTCCATAATACTCTCTTCCTTAGTAGATCCAAATCCCTCAAAGGAACATTTTCCCTGTCATTCTGTTTTTCTTAATGGGTAGTGTACACATGTTCTCTAAATCTAGGATCCCTAGTTTCAGCTATGAATGATGTTCTTCAGGATAGTACTCTTGCATAGAAAGCAGCCGGGATGAGTGGATTATGGTCTGTGAAAGGTCCATAAAGATCAGATACCTGGATCTAGCTGGTCGGATGGAAAATTCTCCATTTCTTTTTTGGAGGCAACCCCACTTTGAGAGTGTAATTTATTCCAGCTTGTCTTGTTCTACCCATGGGATTCAGCTACTACTGGTAGATCATTTCAAAATCTGGATAAATCTCTTCTGGGCCTTGGACAACATATGCAGGGTACTATCTTTGGTTTAAAGTTGGCAGCTGCGTAAGTATTCAGTTTGTCTTAGTAAGTGGGCTGGTCCTCCTAACCAGATTTTCCAGCTATGCCCTCTTAATCCTCAGGGTGATCGCCTTTACCCTACCACCACTGCTGTTTCAGATCCTTCTCTGCCTGTTGAGAAGTTCCAGGTGCTTTGGGTTCTCTTCATGGTTGTTGCCTACCATGAAATGGCCAATTTTTTTTTTTTCCTACTTATAAGGCGAAAAGATGACATTTATTCTGTCAGTCCACGAAACATACCCCTTCCAGGGCTGAAGAGTATACTTCTTAGTTTTCTTGCTTTTTTCCTCCTAGGTTCATCTAGTCACTCTGTATTTGCTCTAGGCAAACCTTATTGCCAATTAAGTGCTGAATTTATTGACAAGGTAAAATCACTTGGGAACAGGGGTTTAAAAAATGAGATGGTTTAAGTGTTTGGGAGAGGCAATAATAGTTGTTTCTAAAATTCCTTTTCTCTTTACCACTGTGAATTTTAAAATGTCACTTTGCTTCAGTGATTTTTTAGTGGCATATTACAAATACTATTACATAGGTTGTCTTTATTTATGTAGTACATTTTATCATTAGAGAAAAAGTTATAGTTGTCCAATTTATGTGTCTGCATGCCTTCATGCCCTGATATTTTAAAAAGTGCAAAAAAAAAAAAAATTTAAAAGTAGACTTACCACAAAATGAAACAAAGCCCAATGGTAATTATCCTTGCATGCTAATATAAATTATGATAGTTTTGGTGACTGTGAAGAAAATTAAGAGATTCCCCAAATTGTTATGGTCAGCTTGTGCCCTTTTATTAGTGTCAAATAATGCTAGAAAAAAATTCTGATTCTTGAGAAATTCTCTAAATGAGTGGTTTTTACTTTTTTTTTTTTTTTTTTTGGCCAGGATCCACACTAAGAAATGTACTTTAACAATGAATATACAGACACATATAAAACAAATGAAACCAGTTTCTGAAAATCATGCTTGCCGTTAGCACATAAGAGCCTCCTATATTTCCTATTTGATTCTCTTCTGTTGCAATAAAAAAAAAAATAGATGGTATTGACCCACTAAATTGATTTCACTGCCTACTGATGGGTCACAACTCATGGTTAAAAAAATATAGTTTTAACCCCTGTGCTAAAGATAGAAGGAGACTAAAATCTTAATCCATTTTGAAAGAGAAAATTATTCTTTAAGTTCTATGAAGTGGAGTTTATCTATAAAAACTTGGCTTTGATATGTTTATATTTTTACTTTTAAAACCTCTTTATCATGTCCAAGCTAAATATTTCTCGTTGCATATTATAACAAAATATCATAAAGTAGATTCTAAGTTCTTATAAATACAGCTTGGCAAATGTCATTCTATACCATTTTATAGGTAAAAACTCTCTATTATAGAGGTTAGGTTTGCTGTGTTAAATGAAATTTGTGAAAGTATCATGTATCATAATTCCTGATTCAAACTCTCAGGCATGCATCCTACAGTGTGTTCTTACACACATTCTACCTCTCCCTGTAGGCTAAGAAGATCTTGCTGAGTTTGCATAATTAGTGTCTTAGGGACTGACCAACTGACCTTGCCTGGCATACCTTCTTTACCAATGTGCTATATATAACATGTGTAAATAATCATTTGTACAACTCAGACTCTCTAGGGCAGTGAGACTCCAGTTTTGGCTGAGGCACTCAGTTTCAGTCATTTCAATTGTGTGGGAAAACTAATAACTTTACAATGAATAGCAACAGTTAATTGAAGTGGTGAGAAGGAGAATTTCATGGGGGATATTCTTTTGAGTCATGTTAGTAGGTTAATATTATGCTGTTTTTTTATGTAAATATACTCTAAGCCAGGTGGGAACTTTGTGATTTATAACTAGAAAGCTAAATTATAAATAGTAAGCTCATGGTAATAACTCTTAGGAATAAACTCGATATTAAAAAAATATTGCACATTTCTAAGAAAAGATTATTTCCAATTATGTATGCATTTATTAAAATCTTTGTGACAAAATTTCTTAATTTACATGTGGACTTAATACATTTTTGAGGAAACTAAAACAGGGTACTTCACAAGATATGAATGGAGGACAAGATCCATGTTGAAAATCTTTCGTTAGTTTAGATGAGTTATTCCAGGTTGATTAACCCTTTTTGGTCATTTTGCAACCTACCAGTGATAATATCAAGCATTGTAAAAAATACAAGATAGAAATATAAATTTCTTGAGCATTTGATATTTTTATGATTTATGTATGAGAGATTATACAGTTTAAGAATATACACACTTCCTATGAGATCATCTCATAAGGGAAAGTCTTAACAAGAATTGTTTTATAGTTCAGTTATAAAAGTGACTCAGCTAAAAAAGTATTAACCACTTACCATGTGTAAGGCTCTAGGGTAGATATAGTGGGAGAAACAAAGAAGTAAAAAAGATGGGTGTATCACTAAAGAAATCTATAACATAGATGAGATAAGAGATATATAGTACATGTAAAAATAATATACAGCAGTGTAGAATAAAAGATAAATGAGTGATATAGATGACAAGTGCTAAAGAAATCCAAAGAGAAACCATTGTGGATTACACATTTATTATTTATGCCCTACTTTATTTCAGGTAAAGGAGGCGTCTTGACTATAGAGGATGGGGGGTGGTGGAGTAAGGAGAGCTTGATGAAGAAGATAAAGCTGTAGCTGAGATCGTAAAGGATGCAGAAAGAAGAGAAGGAAGAAAATGTTCCAAATGTTGAGAGTAGCATGGGCATCAGAATAGATGCATAAGACATGTCTAGTGAAAAGTAAGTGAAACAATCGTTTTATGTAGAAAAACAGGAAATAAGGAGAGCATATTCGAGGATGGATTCTGGAGCTCTTTGTTAGGCTAGGAGCTAAAACTTTACAGGTACTGATGAGCTGCTCGGGATTTTTGGCTGGTACGTAATAAGATGAAATAGGATTTTAGGAAGATTTATCAGTGGTGCTGGGTATGAGAGTGTGGACATGGGAAAGACTGGATATGAATAAAAATGGGAGAGATATGATAGTACTCCAGAGGTAAGGGAAAACGGCCTCAGATGTGGGTGTGGTAGTAGGAATGCAAAACAAAGAACTAATGTAGAATACAATTTAAAGGAAGATCTTAAGGAATGAAAGGATATGAGAATGAGGGAGTCAGCAAACTATGACTCTATGTTAAAACTTATAATGAGAAAATAAAGATCAATATTTGTGGAAAAGGTCATACAAGTTATTTTTAGAGTTTGTGTCCAAGTACCTTGGGCTCAAACAATATTTAAGAATACATAATTTAAGTTTCTCACAAAGATATATATTTTTTTATATATGTATGTATGTATATATAGTTTTACTTTCTGTTTATTTGTTTTGGTTCTGGGGTTTATGTATGAATCAGAAAGTTTATTATGTGTGTATATAGCAACATGACTAATTAGTATTCTCTCATATCACTGAAACAAATTCTAGAACACTAAGTTACAAGAGAGGACTGCATTTGAGGAAAGAATAAAAGTCAGGATTGTGAAAAACATTATAGAGAAATGGTATTTTGTAAAGTTCATAGTCTTCGATAACCTATTTTGAATCACTGCACAATAGCATAAAGATTAAAAGACTAAATGTGTAGAGAGTCTAGTTATGACTACATATTAATTAAATGTCAGAAGAGAGCTAAAAAACTGGAAATAGCCCAGATATCTATCAATAGGAGAATGGGAAAATGTTATATTCATAAAATGGAATACTACTCAGCAATGAAAAGGAATGAACTACTGATTCAAGTAACAGAATGGACGAATAGCGAAAACATTGTGTTAAGTCAAAGAAGCCTTACACAAAAGAGTATATACTATATAATTCCATTTATATGAAATTTAAGAACAGGCAAACCTATGGGGAAAAATCAGAATTATTGTTGCCTCTGGGAATGGGAGTAAGGGAATAACTAGGAAGGGGCATGAGCAGACTTTCTGAGGGTGATGGTGTTCTGTATCTTCAAAGAGGTTTTGGGTCACATAGATGTGTGTGTTTTTCAAAACTCTTTAAATAGTATGCTTAGGATTTGTCCATTCCATTTCACATATGTAAATTTTACTAAAAATGTAAACATATTCAATCTTGGTTAATGATAAGCATGCTGAAGTGTTTAAGGCTGACAAGTACTGATATCTGCAACTTAACTTTAAAATGCATCAGAAATGGTAGATGGATAAATACTAGATAAATTATACAGATTTGTAATGAAACCAATGTAGTAAAATATTGACTCTAAGTACATGCATGTGCATTATACAACCCTTTCAACTTTTCATTTTTTTTTTGAAAATGTTCACCATAAAATGTTGGGGAGAATTTAAGGAACTTTGAACACATTAAGCCTTTGGTTGACTGTGATTTACCAGTGTGGGAGGCAGGAAAACACAGTGGTAAAGATGCTCAGGTCCTGAATCAGAAGTTTAATTTTGAATCATATTAGTTGAATCTTTTATTAGTTTTGAGAAATTGTAATAGGTTTTCCTCTACTATAAAATGCAAATAATATCTGCATCATAGTTTCATGAAGATTAAATGGATTAACATATATAAAATACTTATCAAGATTTTGGCATATAAGAAATTCTCAATAAAAGTTATTTTAAAAAGTAAAAGGAGCATACAAAAAAACCCACTGCAATTAAAATCATAATTTCATTGTCTTATAAGAGTCAATTCTGATAAAGTATTTTATAGCAAATATTAGATATATATTTCTATACTCTCCAAAGGCTAGAAAGAATGAAAGTTGAATATTTTTAAATATTTAAATATTTTCTTTTACTTAAAAAGATGGGGCTCTTGAAAGAAAATAAAACACATTTTTTCCTTATAGATTTCATAATTTCAGTGTAATTTAGCACATTGGTTGCATATTATTGTCAAGATCCTGAGCTAGGAGAAAGGAAAACAACACTGAGACAGGGTTCCTCCCCATAAGAAGTTTACAATCTGCTATTTAATATTTCATTGATCTTCAGAGGCTAAATAGTGAACCAAAGAAATAGGCCGAAATGTGTCTTTAGATGCTTACATTACATTAATTTTAAATAATAAAACCTGGACAGGTGATAGGTAAGTCTCCATAACAGCACTATCCAATAGAACTTTCTGTGATGATGAACATGTACTGTATCTGTGCTTTCCAAAATGGTAACCACTGGTCATGTGTGACTATTGAGTACTTGAAATGTGGATAGTGCAACTGAGGAACTACATTTTTAATTAAAATTTTTAATTTTAATTTACTACATGTGGCTAGTGGCTACTAGATTGGACAGTACATCTCTAGAGTGTGTCTCTCAAACTATCTGAGGAAAAGGATGAGTTATTTTAAGTTTTAAATCTGTTATAGATTCATATTTTTATAAAATGCAATGAAAATTCCTACAAAGATGAAATGAGAAAAGGACGTAAAATACCACCTTGTTTTTTTTCCATTTAAAAAATATTAGATTCAATAGACATAATTACTCTGTCAAAATCGCTGTAAAAATATGCAAATACTCTCAACTTTTGTATTGTATTTCATTATGTGCCAATAACATATAGTTTTTAGATTGGTGATGGTCATGGACCACACTTAGAGCTAGGTATAGGTTTCTCTTTGCCTAATATGCCTAAGAAAAAATAATTTTCTTAAACCAACTCTTTCTTAAAATTACTGGCACAGATAATTTTTTGCATATTTAAGTATAATTCAGTAATGTAGTTACTGATGTAACAGTTAACACTCTTTACAGCAAGTCTTGTCTGGGTCAACTGTATATTGACAGCGCAGTGTGGTCAACTTCAAAATGGACTGAGAAGGCTTATTTGATCTAGTGAAGTCATTTTTGCAGTTGGAGGTATAAGCTGAAAAATTCTTCCTTCTATAAAGTTCAGCCTGACGTTTACAACAGCCAAATTTGCTCAGCAACAGAAAGAAATCCCTTCGGAATGCCTTTGTGAAAATTGCGTACAGAAATGGATTGGCACAAGAATTGACAGGGTAAAAAAGAACCAGTAAAACTTTAGAGTTGGTTACTGTGATAAGGGGTACTTTGAAGGCCGCTGAGATGGCAAAAAAAGAGATAGGTGCCATGCAGGTGAAATCAGTGAAGATGAGGACTGCCATTTTCTTAGCAATCTTTGTATCTTTGTTAGTAGCCATCAGCTCTGGATTTTGAACTGCAAAATAAATTTTAATGTAGCAAGCACAAATGATGATGAAGGCCAACACATTGAGTATCAGAATGGTTAATATGTAGACTTGTGAGAAAGTGGTTTCCACATCCATGGGGAGGCAGATGCTGACCTTCATGTAATTGCTGACACCCACAAGGGGCAGCATGGCAATTAGAGTAGAGAAAAGCCATCCTCCAAGCATAATTGGAATGGCATGTCTTAATCGTAGCTTTTGGTCCAGCTGAATAGCATAGGTGATGGTGTGCCATCTTTCTAGTGTGATGACCGTGAGGGTGTAGACAGAAAGTTCACTTGCAAATACAGTGAAAAAGCCAGCGGTGCTACATCCGCTTCCTGTCTGCCAATCTATGGCATAGTTATAATACTGGCCTTTGGTTTGGGAGTCAACTGAGGCAATGAGCAGCAGATAGAGCCCCATGCAAAAGTCTGCAAAGGAAAGATTGCACATGAGAAAACGGGGCACTGTCAGTTTATAACGACTGGTCAGGAGAACAAAAAGGACAGTCATGTTTCCCATGATGGCTAGAATATTAATCAGCCAAATCAGGACCCTAAGGAAGTCATAGCCCATAATATCTTCACAAGGATTAAAAGCGTCTGGTTCGGGAGCACATCGGAGTGTCTTGGGTGAGCAGAAACCATAGTCATAATCCCAGCCACTCAGTTCACTCTCAGCAAAGATGGCAGAATAGCTGTAAGAAGAATATTTAGGCTCAATATAAACTGAAGAGATTTTCTAGGATTCTGGTTATTTTAAAAAATTTAATCATCCTTAGTGTTTTTTTTTTTAAAGCCTAAGAAACAAAAGGAAACAAAGCCACAACAGTTCAGTGTTACCTTTATTTGTTAAATTATCTAAGAACCCTGAATTGATGTAAGAGTTCCTTAAGGGAATAAAAAAACAATTTAGTCTTTTTTTAATATATAGATTTTATACATTGATGCAAAGACTTAATGAAGCTGTTTACAGAGGATGATTTTCTTTGGAAAACAAATTTAGAGACACAATATATGCTTGCTAAATCGAAAAGAATCCTTTCTTGGCATTTTCTTTGCTAGTTATCTCATTTAGTTGCCATCCAAACTGCTATCAAGCTGTTTGTGATAGAACACAATGGGATTGGAAAGCTCATATTGTTGAAGATAGTTAGCTACTACTGGCAGACTTGATTGCACTTAAGTCCCTTCTAACCAAATAGCTCAGTTGAGAAATAGAAACCAGGGATAGATTATTAGAAACTTAGAAGCAGAGGAAGAAAATAGTCATGGACAATAGGAATTGTCAAAATAGATATTCCTTAGGGGTATAAATCAAATTCAGAGAGTGAATTGAAGAGGGACTCTGTCCCTAGAGAAGAACAGTTCCACCTCTGCCACTCCCTTCCTCCCAACCCCGCTGCTACTGAGTTCAGGTTTTCATCATCTCTTAAGGGACAGTTATATTTGTTTTCTTCATGGTACCCTTCTCGCAATCCATCTGTACATTCTTTGTGGAATAGCCTTTCTTAAGCACAAACCTATCAATTCAAATTTTCCCTAGGTTCTCATTGGCTAAAGGATAAAATACATACTCCTTGTGATGACCTCCAAGTCCTTTCTTGCTCTGGGTTCTGCCTCCTTTTCTAGTCATATCCCCAGGAGCAGCAGGGCTGCACAGTTCAGAACATGGTCTCTGAAGCAAGGCTGCCTGGGTTCCAGTCTTTACAAGCTGTGTAAGCCGAGAGAGTTATTTTACATATCTGTGCTCAGGTTCTTCATTTGCCAAATAAAGATAATCATATTGTCCTTGGTAGGGTTGTGTTAAGGATTAAGTGCATTAATATATGTAGAATGTTTAGAATAATGCCTGACATGTATTAAGTGCCCAGTGAATGTTCGGAATTATAATTACCTTGCAAATCCTCCGTGCAGCCTCCTTTTGGTCATGTGAAATAACTTGTGGCTCTCAGAATAAGTTCTGTTTCATTCTTCTGTCTTAGTAAATGTGTTGTTTCTTCTTTCCTGATCTCTCTAGTGAATTCTTTCTCATCCTTAAAGATAAGCTCCTCTATGATCCTCTATCTTGATTCTATACCTCCAAATAATTTATTTCTCCTCTGTAGCATGGCTGCACTTAAGTACTATTGTAATTATCAAACCATATTGCCATTATGTGATGATATGTATCTGTCTTCTTTAATAGTTTATTACCTCCTTGAAGGCAGTAGACTAAGTTTTATTTATTTCTGAAATCTCAGTACTTCACACAGTTTTGGCTCAGAGTATCCATTCAATAAATGTTTATGGAATTTATAAACCAGAGTGATCCTGGCTCTGTGGGGAACTGAGGGGATGCAGGGACAATGACTGTATACAGTATGAAACATGTAGGCTCAACAAATTTTCTCTTTGCCCACAGTCTGCTGCTGTATTCTTGGGAGCTGGAGAATTGGGCATAATTTTTTCTGTCAGGGCCATTACACATATGTATTTCGCCTGAGAGTTTCTCGCACATTAAAAGAGTATTTTTCTCCACTCTCAAAATTTAGCTTTTCATATTCTGTATAAGGAGGTGTATATGTAATTCAGTGAGTGGATGAAACGATGTATTTTAGCACTACAATTACCGGAGAGAAAGAACACAGATTAAAAAATGAAGAAAAAGAAATCTATGATCTGGGAGGCCAAAAGAGTGCTAGAATATCATAGAATCCAATTTGGAACTAGAGAAGGACTGCTAGTATGCACAGAAGACTGCAAAGGAACCTCGCCTGTTTTATTGTTAAATGTAAGTAGTACATTTGTCCTCATCTCATGCACATCAATATAATTACCTATTTTTTAATCTTTAAAGAGATATGGTGGTTATAAAGAATAATTAAAGAAAATAGGTTATTTCTTAGCATTAGAAAGGTCCTTAAGACCGTCTTATTGAATCCCTCATTTTATTGGTAAAGAAAGCAAGATTAAAGGAGGTAAGTGACTTGCCTGCGATTCCTCAACACTGGGCACTAGTGGCAGCACTGTGTATTCCTGGGGGCCTTTATTTCACTATCTCTCAGTCAGTGGTTTTCAGTGTGGTCCTTGAACCACTTCCATCAGAATCACCAGGATGTTTGCAAAAATGCAGATTTCTGGCTTTATTTCAGATCCTGAATCAGACTGTCTAGGGCAGAGCCCAGGAATCTGCATTTTAAGCAAGTTCCCTAGATGATTCCTACAAAATAATAACCTTTATTAAATCAGGTGAAAACTTTCCAACTATTGCTGCCTTAATTTCTTGCTCCTTTCCTCTTATCAAAACAACCTTGGCTGCTAGAAGCACCAGGTCAAAGCTTCTAAAAATTCTGCCTTGATTTCTGAATAAATTTATATCAGTAAGAGGTCAGACATTATCCTTCTTTCCCTCTTCTACTCCCCTGGTCCTCCCCCGCCGACCCCCACATTTTACGCTACTGGGCATATGTCTAGCAATTTTCTCTTTGGTGATTTGTCTTCAGATCATATATACCCACCTGCTGCTACTTACATTTGTGTCCTGGGATGGCTCCTGAGGGCAGCAGCATGCTTATTGACAAAACCCAGCACGAAGCTGTCTTTAGTATTGAAGGCTTATGCAGGGAATGTGAATGGACTTAGTAAAATTGAGTGAGAGGATGGAGAAGCAGTAGCATAATATTTATAATGTACCCTAGGTCCTGTTACATTCTTCAACTCCCTTCACTCTCATAGTTCTCAAAGCCAAATGATATTTCTGTTGTCCCTTACAGATGAGGAAAAAAGTCTCAAAAAAGGTAAGTATTCGAGGGATACCTAGTGTTACAGGAACATTACTGCCAAGGATTCATATCCAACTCTGAGGAGCCCTGAAGCCCAGGGTCCTTCCATCATACTACCCTGCCGGCCACTATGTAACTTGTAGGTTGATGGGGGAAAAAGAAGAGATAAGAAAAAAGGTATGGAAGTGGGAATGGAGACTGGCAAAGTATCTTAGAAGGGCATCTGGTTTTGTACCCTGAAGGACACATGCGGGGAATAATAAAACTTCTAAATCGCAGTATATGTGGCATGGGGACATTGGAGTTATCTTTCGAGGCACACTCTTTTACATTTGAAGGTATGTGAAATGCCAAGGCAGCTAGGAATAATATTTTAAAAATTCAGTCAGTTGAATGGAAACGTAGCTTCCATCCAGTGTATGTTAGTAACAGCATTAAGGTTGAATAATTTTAAGCTCCAGAGCAGAGTGGTGAAGGTGGCCTAAGTCTCTTTGAGGGAACTAGCTACTTCCAGAAGTTGTGTCTGCCATCATTTAATCTTTATGGAATGCTGACATGTGACTAGTGAAAATTCCTACAAATGAAACTGTCATTTAAACAAGCCCTTAATGACATCAAAATACTTGCAAATAAAATTTTAATTTCTGAGGAGAATTTGATATAATTGTAGCATGAACATGTAGGTTCTTTTTAAGAGTTTTTTTTTTTTTGTTTTTTAACCAGTTGAATGAGATACCTCACCAATTGGATGCCACTTGCAAAAGTTCCCATTTTAAAGCTATTAAAAAATGCTTTGCAAACATTCCCCCACCCAAGACTTTTATGAAAGAAAATTGTTGGCACTGATAATAATAAGGGGCACACAGAATGAGATGTGGCTTCCTGAGTTTCTTTGCATGCAAATACTTACAGCATTTCATCATTTGGTTTTCTTGCTGTGCTTTCACATTGTTTAGAAAAGTTTTCAAAAATGGAAAATGAAAAATTCTGCCTGAAAGAGAAGTGGAGAAAAAAAAAAAAGCAGTTGAGCTTTTGGTCTTTAAGCTAAATCTGATCATGTCTATTTATGCTTTGTTCATCCAAATTCTTTATTATACCAGCTTCGTGTTCTGTACCATTGTCCTAACTGAAATGCTTCCTGGGGAGAGAGTAAAGGCTTCAGAATTGTCATAAGAGTGCTTCCAGGTTAGATAAAATGCTTCTGAATGCTAAGTGTTTTGTGTGGGCTCTAGAGATGAAAAACTTAAATTTGTCATATTGAATCACGGATTTTTCAATGCTCATTAAAAGCTACCTTTATGGTATATTAAGGTTTGCTCCTCACCACTCTCCACACTATATTGGCCTTGAACAAATAACCCTTCGGAGTTCTTGGCTTTGAATTGTAACTGGGAATCTCTGTTGTAAGAATTTGAAGGTACTAGACCTGACATCATTATGTAAATTTTCTGCTGCTTTTAGTTACTTGCAGGAGTACATCTGTGTGTTCTTTATTCCTTCGTCTTTCCCTTTAAGAAGTTTAGTCAATAGAAAGGGGGTGATGACAAGGAATTAAAAGAAAGCCTGTTCTTATATTTCTAAGATGAAACCAAAAGGAGGAACAAAGAAAAAGTGGATGAAGAAACAGAGGAAAAGACAGTAGGCTGTGAGAACCTCGTCCTTTCCTAAGGAGGCAGGAGAAATGAGGCAGTCCAAATTAGACATGTCTGTATATTATTCTTTCCCAATATTAACAGTACAATTCCTTGTAGGAATGACTGTATAAAAGCAGGAAGGTGGAGAATATATCAGAACTATTTGACCTACTGGACTAAATTTAAAAAATTAATCAGCTTGTTATTTGGGATGAGGATTATAAATCCTCAAATTTGGACCAAATTGTGTGCTTGTGCGTGTGTGTGTGTAAGAGAGAGAGAGAGAGAGAGAGACAGAGAGACAGAGAGACACAGACACAGACACAGACAGACAGACACACACTGGATCGAATCTGACATTTAGAGATTATGTGAACCAATCTGCAGTTAATATAAAATGTGCTGGTTCTTGGCCTTCAGATAATAGCACTGGGTTTCATCTACTCTTTTTTGAAATTTTAATTATAGATACCAAGGAGGTCTTTGGGGTGATCTGCCCAAGTATCTGTGAGCATTTTCCAGACTTAGCAGCTATAGGGCAGAGGGGTGCACAAACATTCCATGGGCCTAACTTCAGGCTCTCCATCCTCACTAGCATCTGAGAATGTGACTACATTCTCATTATATTTTGATGCTGGCTTACAGTTGCTTAATCTTCTCCCGCCCTATTTTTTTTTTTGAACTATACATAGTCTCTTTCATCTACTGTAATAAAAACCCTTGAGTTAAAGTTTTTACATGACAGTAATTTCAGAAGAGATGTGACCTCTTGCCACAAAAATGGTGTTCAGAGTCAACTTTATCACAAACCAGTGTCTATATTATTCTTATAGTTGGTTTTTTACCAGCTTTATTCACTTCCAACCCGTCCTCCATCCTGCTACCAGAGTGATGATTTAGTATATTTTACAAAAGCAAATCCGAGTAATTTTGTTTTAAATTCTTCAGTGGTTTCTCATCTTCTAAACAATTTAGTCTGGCACTCAGGGCCCATCCTGGCCCACCTCTCCCTCACTCATCTTCTTCCCCTCACTCATTTTCTTCCATGTACCCAGAAGTCTTCCTGTTCTAGTTTTTTCTGAGTGACTTTCTTCCTATTGCCTTTTGGCTTTGTGCCTTTACAGGAACTATTTTATCTTTTAGTCATGCTTTCCTCCACACCTGTCTAGCCAACTCCTACCTGAAGAGTCAGTTCCTCAGAAAGCCTTCCATAAGCCCTGCTGCCATTTAGAAACTCTTCTGAGCTCGCAGGGCACTCCCATTCTCAGCTCTAGCATAACATTTGCTGCATTGTACTTAAACATTGGCTCTCTTGTGTGTTGTCCCCACACAGCTGTCTGTGACTGTGAGGGTTGGTATAAGTTCTTATTCATCTTGGTATCTTCAGACTTTTGCACTGTGTTTGGAACATGGTAAATGCTCAGTTAATGTTCTTTGAAGCTCAGCTAATGGTTCATGGCTTTCTAAGCACAGTGAGTGGTTTGTCTTCTGGTTACCTCAAAACTTGAGATGCAAAAAAATGCAAGTGCTGGCAAAGATGTGAAGAAAAGGGAACCCTTATGCACTGTTGGTGGGATTATAAAACAGTGCAGCCACTATGGAAGATAGTATGGAGATTCCTAAAAAAATTAAAAATAGAACTGCCACATGACCCAGCAATTCTACTTCTGGAATATAATTTATAATAGTCAAGATATGGAAACAACCTATATGCCTGTTAATAGATGAATGGATAAATATACAATGAAATATTACTCATCAATAAAAAGAATGAAATCTTGCCATTTGTGACCACCTGGGTGGATCTAGAGGCTATTATGCTAAGTGAAATAAGTCAGAGAAAGATGAATATCATATGATTTCACTTATATGTGAAATCTAAACAAACAAACAAATAAATAAAATACAAACAGATCTATAGATACAGAGAACAAACTGATGGTTGCTAGAGGGGTGGGGGTGGTAGGATAGGTGAAAAAGGTGAAGGGGAATAAGAGGTACAAACTTTCAGTTATAAAATAAGCCACAAGGATGTAGTATACAGCATAGGGAATATAGTCAATAACATTGTAATAGCTTTGTGTGGTGACGGGTGGTTACTAGACTTACCGTGCTGATCACATCATAAGGTACAGAACTATTGAGTCACTCACTATGTTGTACACCTGAAACTAATATAATAATGTGTGTCGACTATAATAAAAAGTAAGCTCCAGATAGAACTGCACATACCTATACAGGCACAAAGTAGGTGTACAATAATACATGCTGGTTGATTAATTATAAATAGGTTGATTCCAAACAAAGACAGCAGCATCCTAGTGCCACTGTGTCAGTGCCTCATTTGAGAATATCTTCTCAGGCTGCATAATATCCCTTTAAGACACTGTTTTCCCAACTGTGAGTTGTGACCCATTAGTGGGTCATGAAAACAATAGAGTGCTTCAAGACTAGCATTAAAAACTAACAAACATAATAAAATAGAGTAAAACAGACAAGAAAATATCAGAGTGTATCGCATGCGAAAAGTTAAGTTTTGCTTTGTTTTATTTCAGTTACATGTGTGATGTGTGCTGGGTTGCAATGTAAAAAAAGGTGTTTCTTACTGTATATCTCAGTCAAAAAATAAAGTCTGGAAAACAATTTTTGAGGAAAGAATGAAGTCCTACGCATCCTGCCATTCTGTGCTGGATTGAAATGAATGAGTTGAAACAGTAAGATGCCCCTGCCTGGATACAAACCAGCCAGGAGCTTGTGCCTTTTTTGTTTCTACACTAATCTAATTCTTAGAGACCTAGGATTCTGTTCCAAAATGGAAGATGTTCTTCTGCTGGGAGAGAAATAGCTTAAACAAAAACAAAAACCTTCTGTAGTGTTTTGTGTCTTTTTTTTTTTTTTTAATTAAAGATTAACACATTAAATAGATTGTACCCTTTTGAGGCCACTTCCCCCACCTCTTTAAAAATTATGCTCTCAGATAAGGATTAGTGCTAATTGATCTTCAAGCTCAACTGTACTCCATTTTGTAGCTGCTATTATAGCCTAGTTTAAGGCTATGATTCAGTTGGCCTAGAGTAGGGTACAAAGGTCTTCTTGCTGCAGGGTGAATTGACTGTTTGGAATCGGTTTTCAGGAGGAAATAGGATGGTTCATTTTCTTCTTGTCTATCTGAAAGTGACCCCATGGCTATGGAATAGGTCTGGAAGGCAGCGGGTGAAGGGGCAGGAAGCCCACAACCAGTTGACTATTTTGATGCCTGAGTTTCTGCCACATTTTGGCAGGCTTTACCTTTTGTTTCTTACTTACTCTCTTGTTGGCAAGTTTCTGAAAGCACAGCAGTGGCTGGGATAAGTTAAGGTGGCATCCAGAAGATTGGTGAATTTTTCTCTTGATGGCAATTTTTTTAGAGAATAGGATGATGTGGCTATTAGCGTCTGAATGGATTCCAGCCCATAGCTAGGCAAAGCCTGCAGTTTGGTGGAAGAAATATCCCTGAAAAATAAAGGGGAGAAAGGCTTTTATTTATTCATTTTATACATTTGATTTATAGAATAAAACCTCCCCTGAACAATAGTATCATTTTAGGCACTGAGGAATCTTTATCTTACCTTTCTCCTAATTTTCTTTTTCACTCTCATTACAATCTAAATTCAAAAAAAGCTATACTGTGTTTTTCTTTCTCATAGACACCTCATTATTCTTTTCAAGGTTGCATATGACTCCTTGTGCCTGCCATGCATTTATTAACATTTCTCTCTCTCCCCTCGCCTGATCCTTTCTCCCTCTCCCTCCCTCCCTCTACCTCTTTCCACTTATCGGAAGTGAAATAACTACCTGCTTTATGAGACAGCAGGCACATGCAGTGACATCAGCCTTTGTGCTCTACCCCAGGGGGAAATATTCAGGGCTCCAGATGCCTTGGTCTTTGATTGATCAAGCCCTGCAGGTAGATTTTTCTGAAGCACAGGCTGGTTACACCATTAAGAGCTGCTCTGTGGCGCTACCCATCATCTACGTGGGAAGTAGAATGCATGTCCTCTAACAGCGAACTGGATTCTTCAGTCCAAAGCAAGCAAACTCGGCTATGCAAGCAGAAATGTATTGAAAGCTCAGGTTTGTAAACAAAGTCCTGAACTCCTTGGTTTTTCTAGACTTGAGGCAATGTCCAAGAAAACTCCGAATAGGTTAAATGTGAGGAAGAAGAACACTCAGTGGGAATTTAAAATTTTTGCCCATTTTTCTAAGTGGCTGCTGCCCCACAAAACTCTTCTAGTAGCAAGCACAGTTATTGCCGCCTCCCACCCAGCACACTGCCTCAGTACTTAGTCCCCAGCACATGGGAGGGATCAATAGGTGGTGATTGATAGAAGATGGACTTGACAACAGGAATGACTACTAGTGTAGGCCTGGAACAATCAAGAAAGAAGAATTTGCCTCAGGGCCTGCAGAATTTGCTGCTTTTATGTCCTTATCAGTTTAGGTAACCAGTGTTCTCATTCTTTTTTATAGAGTTATTATCTCAGTTGTGTTAGAGATTGAGCACATGACTCTTTGCAGGGCGATGGTGGCGGTAGTGGTGATGGTGTGTGTGTTTTCGGGGATATATGTATTTTAAATTAGGATTCTAGAAATGGCAAGGTCTCATTATAAAGGAGTGAATCTCATAATAGATTTTCAGTCTCAGTGACAGACCAGTGGGGGAAATATTTTGGTGGTGTAAGTGGAGAGAATGTTTATAGGCACCACTGAAATCCACAGGGTGTAATAAAAATAGCTGCTTGGGAAGCAAGAGACATAGGTCTGGTCCACTGTTCTGGACACAGCCGTGTAGGTGCCCTCAGCGCTCACGGTCATTTTTAAGCAGGCCCATTAAGCAGCTTTTCAAGCAAAGGCTGTTATGCAGGGTGCCTTGTGACTACACTAACTCTGTCATGAACTGTGCCTGAACCAGAGGCAACTCTCTTTAGCTGTCCAGTGGCCAAGAAGTTTCCAGCTTGCCCTGAGAGCTCTGCCTACCTGGTGCAGAGAGTATTCAACCAATCTATAAGATTCTGAGTCCAGAGTACTTTAAATATATGACATATAGATGGGGGCTTCTGGGGTAAAGTGACAGAAGCTGAGACAGCAGAGAAATCAGTGAGCATGAGCCACGAGGTAGTGGAAGCCATAAGTAAGCAGAAGTCATGAGGCTCAGTGGAGATGAGAGATTTGGATTGATAGTGGCAGAAGTTAGGAAGCAGAGAAGGTCAAGAGTTTTAGTGGTGGGAATTAGGAAGAAGAGTCAGAATGGATGATGGTAGGAGCTGGAAAGTATAAGTCAGGAGTTGGTAGTGGTGAGAGCTAGGAATCAGATATAGTCCGGGGTTGATCAATAGTGTTGGGGGTAGGAAGTAGATGGAGGCAAGAGGTGAGAGTGGATAGGAGTTAGGGAGTAGATGGTCAGGAGTCGATGGCGACCAGAGCTAAAAAGTAGATAGAATTTGGGGTTTCTAATGATGAGAGATAGAATGTAGACAGAATTAGAAAGTAGAATCATGAGTCGATGCTGGCAGGAACCAGGATATAAAGAATAACTGGGTCAGTTTATTTCTTCCCCTGCTCAAAACTCTAAAGTCTCTTCATCTCACTCAGAGAACAGGCAAAGTCCCTAAAATGGCCACAAGGCCCTCCATGACCTGGCTTTCTGCCACCTCTCCATTCTTATGTTCTAGGACTCTCCTCTTTGCTCACTCTGCCACAATGGCCTCCTTTCTGTTCTTCAAATACACGCGGCGAGTTCCTGCTTCAGGGCCATTGCTTTTGCTGTTTCCTCTGCCTGGAATGCTCTTTGTGTTGAAATCCAGATAACTTGCTTCCTTACTTCTTTCAGGTGTTTGCTTAAATGACACTTTTTTCAGGATAGTCTTTCCTGACTATCTTCCTCCCCCTCCTTAGAATTCCTTTTTTCCCCAATCAACCGAATCTTCTCTACAACCAACAGCCTCTGGCACACTACGGATTTTATGTACTTATTTGATCCTGTATCTCTTTCCCCATGCTTCTGTTGACTATCTTTCTAGCACTTTTCTCATTTTAAAATTATATGCCTATTCATTGCTTTGTCTGTTTATTGTCGTCTCCCCCACTGTAATCTCTTTCAGGGCAGGGACTGGAGCTTGTTTAGCTCACCCTGTCCTCTGCAGCATGGTGTCTGGCAAACAGGATGGGTTTAACCAATCCATGAGCAACAGCATACTAGGTAGTGCAGGGAGTGATGGACTGGTGCCTCTGTGGAGGGGGTGACGAGGTCACCCTGCATTAGACCTGCAGTGCCTGGAACCCTGTTGCATCTCTCCCTGAAGCCTGACTGCAGCTGCAGTTGTTTCCTGTATGATGTTTCAGGCTTCCCAAGGCTTTACCAAGAGATGACTGATTCAGTTTCCTGTTCCTCTTAATTTTCCAACATGTCCTTACACTGAATTCATACAACTGAGGGAATTTGGCTTTGCTTCCTACCCTGAGAGCCTGACACACAGTAACTTAGCCCTGTCCAGCTAAGTGCCAGGGCAAGTTAGATCTTTGGCCTTGGGTTGCCATGAGTGGATGCTGGGTGGGTAGTCACCTGCTCTGCCAGCACAAGAGGTGGCCCTCCATATTTAGTGTTATGGGTTGAATTGTGTCTCCCTAGGTTCATATGTTGAAGTTCTGACACTCAGCACTTTAGAATGTGACCTTATTTAGAAATGGACTTTCTACAGAGGTAATCAAGTTAAAATGAGCTCATTAGGATGGACACTAAACCACTATGAATCCTTATAAAAAGGGAAAATTGGACACACACACCACACACACACACATGCACACGCACATGCACGCATACACACAGTGCTATATAGAGATTGGGGTTATACTGCCACAACCAGAAGGAACTATCTGGAGCAAGGAGAGAGGCCTGAAGAGATCCTTCCTTCACAGCCCTCAGAAGGAACCAACCCTGCTGACACCTTGATTTTAGACTTCTAGCCTCTAGAACTGAAAGACAATAAATTTCTGCTAAGCCTCCCCACTCCTCCACCCGATTGTGGTGCTTTGTTATGGCAGCCCTTTTATATGCAGAGGATGATGCTCCTCAAACCAGTCTGGGGGTGTGGCCAGACACCCTAAGCAGGCCTGTTGGAGTGCAATGGGCAGGGAGGGGAGGCGGCACGACTATACTCACAAGATGCTTGGCCCCGTGGCCCCCTGGAAGGCTCCATTGTGCATCTTCTCCAGGTGTGCGTTTTGCTTTAGCTCCCTGTGGGGAAGGACAGTGTCCTTAGTGGAGTTTGCACCTCCTGTGTGACCACACATGTTTGGAACAGTCTCTGTGCATGGTGCTCAAGGTTAAAAGGCACAAGGCGGGGTGGGGGGACTGTAGGTAAAGTGGAAAAAAGACATGCTAGTGTTTGGTGAAATTGTGAAATCGCTGGAGTTGTCTTTGGACCCACGTTTCACTGCGATTTCCTCCTACTCAGTGGAACCCTTTGTCCTACAACTTAAAGTACTCACTCCTCCTGTCCTGGACTTAACAGAAGTTTACTATCAGACAGCTGGGCAAGGATGAAAATGCTGCTCCAGTGTTCAAGGCTGAAGGGTGGATGTGCAGCCTGCCCTGTATCAAGGCTCTCAGCTGTCCTGACCTTGGAGGTCTCAGAGTTTGTTAACAGTGATATACTAAGGTTTGTGAATACTTTACTTAAAAAGAAAAAGTAAGGTCGATTCAAAGGTACCCCTTGTCATGTTAATTATACTCTTTTTCAGATATGCATTTCTTAGTGGGTGAGAAAGGGGAGGAAGTAAGTACAGTCTGTGTAGAAAAATGTCCCATACCCTGGCTGCCCCGTGTAGGTCTGTGCTGTGTATATGGTCACCAGGTGTGCATGTTGTGGAAACAAATGAGGGCACTGCTCCTAAGGCCATGGAGAAGCCAAAAGCTGTTATGGCAGTGGCTACCTGAGGGCTTCTGCATCTCAGGGTGAACTGCTCAGGAACAGCTCAGCCTGGCCCTGCAGAGCAGCCTCCTGTCTGGGCCCTGATGCTGGTGTCTCCAAGCACAGGCCTTTCTCTGGGTGGACAAGGGAGTTGCGAGAGGTATCTCTGGGCTCAGGCTTGCCAGTCTTCTTTTCAGCACTTTCTATAAGAGAAGGGTGGTGATTCAAAGAATATTCTGGAAACCCTGGACAGTGGGTACAGTATGCATCCATTGTTGGTGCGATGATTTAGAGCATGGGAACAAGATTCTTCTGCACTACTGTTAAAATGTTACATGCACCAATACCCATGCCCCCTCACCTGCAGGATGCCTAGGTAATTATCTGGCTTATCTCATAGCGTTACGTCTTCTTCAGCATCTTTCTGCATGTCTCCATATCGCTCCTGCCATTTAAGAACTGCAGAAGCCCCTGTATCTTTCTTGTTGGGTGGCTGTTTTCCACATGCTTCTACTAGGTGTTTTCCTTGCTATCCTTCAGCCTTTTCATCAGAATACACCTGTCAGTCTCATGTCGTCCCATCCCCTGGGAGTATTTCCACTTTCAAAGATATGAGGTTGTCAGAGTCAATTGCTGTTTAAAATCTAAATCAAAAGAAATTTTCCTTCCTGAGCCTCCGTGGTTCTTCCTGATTTGGTTTGTTTTAATTATGTACAGTTATAGTCATAAATTGTTGAAACTGGGCTCTATGAGCAAATAATACTCATATCAGCCAGGTCAAATTAACTTTTCAAATTTCATGACAGCATTTACATTTTTTATTAAAACTCAGATCTTTCTGTATACTGATAACTCTGCATTATGTAACTTGGTCAAAAATAAATTCATCTACCACATTTTCCTGGGGTTTCCTTTTGGGAACTCTCCCAGGTGACATGGTCCTCCAGATATGAGAAGCACAGGTAGGGATAACCTTTTGAAGCACAGTGGAAGAATGCCCAACTCCACCCGAAGCTTTCCTAACTGGGGTGCTCCGGGAATGATGGGGACTGACCCTTGGACCCCTGGAAGTGTCCAAGGAAAACCTTTGGGTGGCTGCTCCTCTCTGCCTGGTCCTGCCTTTGTGAGCAGTGCATCTGAGATCTTTGCAGAGCTGTGGTGTCATTGTCCTGAACGACCTTGGATGGGCCTCCTTATGAGGAAGGTGGGAGATACTGGGCTGGACATAGAGTTTGAAAACTTTGCTTGACAGATTTGAAAACTCCTCCTCCTCCCCTGAGTAAATCTTTCAGTGGGCTTCCTTGCCCTTAGGAGAGAATTCAGACTCCTTTCCATGGCCCCTCAATTCTGTGTGATTCGCTCCTGTCCCATCTCTAGGTTTATCTCACACCAGTCTTGCCATGCTGATGACCCTCCAGCCACACTGTCCTCCTCCCAATTCCTGGAGCTTATCGATTTCTTTTCTTTCCCAACTCAGGACCTTTGCACATGCTGCTTTCTCTTTCTGTAACACACTTCCTCTCACTATTGCTGTGGTGGACTCTGTCATATTTCAGGCACAGCCTAAATGTCATATCCTCCACGAGGCTATCCTCGAACACCTGACCTAAAGTCAGTCACTCCCCTGTGCTCTCGCAGATCTCAGTGATGGGTTATTTCCTTCATAGTATAGATTACAGCCTGCAAGAAATTCATTTATTTATCTGCCTTTTTAATCTGTCTCTTCTGCTAGAACGGAAACTTCATGAGGACAGAGACCGTTTATACTCTACTATTATAGGCCCAGCCTGATGTATTGGTGATGCTTAATAAATGTTTATTGAATAAATAAATGCATGAAATTGATTTGTGTTCTTGGTTTACTCTTTCTCGTGGCAATGAGGTGTGGGAGGTACAGAATCTTGACTAATTGGACTTTTTGAGGTCCATATCCATTTTGGCATCTCTGATGCGGCTGAGACACTTCTGACCAAGGCCCTCCCTCCTGAAATCCTATTTTCTTTGATCTCCCAAGGACGTATTCCACTGGTTTTCCTTCTACCTCTGTTTGCTTCTGCCCTGGCTTTTCTTCCTCGTTTTTTATTCTTCTCCAATTTTATATTCAATCTCCTTATTTTTCCCCCTTGTCTAGGTCACCCCAGCCACAAAAAACTTCAGCTACCCCCCTCTATTCAGATAACTCCGACATCTATGTCTCTGGCTCTGAACTGCCCTTTCCAGCCCTCTGTCCTCACTGCTAACAGGTGAACCTTCTGTAAGCACCCCTCTCGCACTTCTCATCCCAGAACTTACAACAGCTCATTTTCTGCAGAAGAGATTCCAAATTCTTTACTCTGGCATGTAAAGCCCTTCCTAATTTATGCCTAAACCACAGCTACTACTTTCTAAAAGGTAGTGTTTGCTGGTCTATGAATACACCTCATGCTTCCTCCACTGGGCCATTCCTTGTGTTGTCCTCTGCCTAGAATGCTTTTTCCTTCTGCCTTTGCCTAAGGCCCATCTCAAAGTCTGCCTCCCTCACAAGGCTTCCTCTGATTTCCTTCTCTCCGGCTTTTGAAATCCCAGAGGACTGCCCAGAGGACTCTCAAGGCAGGCATCCTGCTTTGTCTTCTGTTTTAGTTACTACTTAGTGTACAATTGATATGCCATTTGGAGATGCTTATTCTCAGGTTGTAAGCTCCTGTGGGGCAAACAGCAGGGTTTATTCATGTTCATTTCTCCTCAAAATATAGCATGGTCCTTCAAACACAGATGATGCTCGGCAAACACTTGTTGAGTGAACAATGGAATGACATATCTGAGAGTATTGTGCCAGGCTGAAACAGATTTAGTTTCAATTTATTTATTTTTACTTTTTAGGAGAGGCCACCCTTGGTTGACCTCACAGATTGAAAGGACCTTGTTAGCTTACAATCCCTTATTTTTTATTTTTTATGCCTACAGCACCTGGTCTTCCTAGGTGGTCTCCCATCCAAGTACTAACCAGGCCCGACCTTGCTTAGCTTCCGAAATCAGACGGTTTCAGGCTTGCTCAGGGTGGCATGGCCATAGACTTGCAATGGATTTAGCTGGCTAGAGTAAAGCCTTCATTAAATTCAAGTCAACAATAAAATAAAGGAAAATTTACTCCATGATAGGGAGCACAACTTTTAAAAAGCTACCATTTCTTGAACACTTGGTATGTGCCAGACCTGTGTTAAGAGCATAAAAATATAACCTTATTTAATTATCATTTATTCATTCATAATTAATTATGTAATGTAATAAATAATAAGTGGGCACCTACTCTGTGCCAGGCACCAAGGATACAAAACAGACCTTTTTCAGTTTGGTGGGGGTATCCTCAAAACAAGCCTATTAGTGGCTCCATTTTATGGATGAGAACACTGTGGCTTAAATGAGTTAAGTAACCTCCTCAAGGTAGCTGATAAATAGTGGGATTGGGGATGAGTCCCAGTCAGTGACTCTTAGATCTGTTTTCTTATCCATTAAGCTATGTAGCATGGTATCAATATAATAGGGTCTTTGGTTAGTATTGGTAGTTAAAATAGTATATTATGTAGACTTCTGCTACTCAACTTCAGACTGGCAGCACCAGCGTCTCCTGGGAGCTTGTTAAAATTGTAAATTCTCAGTGCCTACACTAGACCCATTGAATCAAAGTGTCTGGGGTGGGGACCAGGAATCTGTGTTTTAACATCTCAATGTTATTCTTATGTAGTGTGATCATCACTTCACCTTGTATCTGTTATAGTTCAAATAGCCCTTGCCCTGCAAGCTTTGTGAATGAACTACTCTTATAGAAAAGGAGCCATAGAAAGAAAGAGGGGTTGGGAACAATGAAGGAAGCAGTCGGGATACTCCCCTTGAGTTAAAGGCTGTTAACACTGGGGGCTGGAATAGGGTGTGGTGAAAATGCAGAGCTCTCTCGCCCTGTGGAAAATGAGCAACCTACTCCTTCCTTCCCCTTCAGCAGTAGGGAGGTGGGACTCTGAGTAGGTCTATTGTGGCTGATTAGCTGATAAACAGTGTTACTCGATTTCTCTGCAGTGGGACCAAGGGGAAGAATTTCTTTGCTGAAATAGTACTGCCTCAACCTGAGCAAGGGGGCTAAATAGGGAGGCTGTGAGATGGAGGAGCCTAAAGTAGGGTGTTGAATATTTCAGCAAACTGTCAACTTCAATGTATCCAGGCTGCATCTCTCTTTGAAATCAGGGTGCTCTGGGGTTTTCAGCCAGCCAGTTGCCTAGTAACATGCATGAAACACTGAGGACTAGCCACTTGAAAGTATATTTTTGTCCTGAGTTAGTTGCTGAAGATCGAATGTGATTTGGTAGCCAGAGTAATATTTCATTTTTATTCATGAGCTGGGGAAATAAGCACATACTTACAGGGAAATCAGCGTCGTCCCATTGAACGCATGACTTTGTATTTCTTCGAATCCATTTCCATATAGTTTGCTGAAGAGGGAAGAGAGACAGTTTAGGAACGAAGGAAGCAGTTTGGAATCACACATTCTCCTGTGACATTTCTTATTAAGATAATTACTGGCATTCACGATATCTAGCTCTTTCTCTTAACATTTTAGATTCTAAGGGCCTGGTAAAATGAAGCTATTCTTTTTGCTCCATTTTGCCTCTACCTCCACCATTACCACCACCACCAATTTTAAGTGTTTATTAATTACCAGTTACTTGACCAGCCATTCTACATGTACTTTTGATTTAATCTTCATCGTTGTTTCCAGTATCCTGATAAGAAACCTTCCACGATGTTGTGTAGCCTGCTTAAGGTCAAAGAAGGCAGTGGCAGAACTGGGGTCTGAGGCCAGAGCTGTCTGATTAACACTCAGGTCTTGCCTGTTTGGGCACTATGGACTTTCTGGGTTGCTGAAAGCTGAGAGCAGAGGGAGGTTCCCATACTGAGTTAGCTGTCTTTTCTCTTGGATGAGTATGTGTTTTTGGTGATGCCATATTTGGCTCTACAAACAAGAAAATTTTAATGTCTGTAAACAGTTCTTTAAGACCCATTAGTGGATAGTGAAATCAATTTAGTTGGGTGCAATCAGCATTTTAAAAAATGAAATAGAAGTGATTAGAACAATGGAAAATATTGGATTGTGTTGCATGTAATTAGGGTAGTAGGGTTTATTACATTTTGTTCCACAATTTTTGTATGTATATACATAAATGTTCACATGTACACATGCACACACACACACACACGTCAACCCAGAATAAGACATAAGAGGCTCCACAGAACACAGATGCTGGGAAATGTTAGAGCCAGAAGGGAAATTGGAGAGAATCAAGTGGCACTCCTTCATTTTGTAAAGAAGGAAATAGGCCGAGAGGAAAGTGACCTGTCTAAAGCCCACAGTAGGCAAAAATGGGACCAGAATACATGTTGTTTGTGGCTACTTCTAGCACATCAGTTTTGCTGTTTGTTTTACTTTTCTTCCCTGAGATGGCCCCCTTTCCCTCCTGCAGGGCTGTGTTTGATGCCATGTTCTCAGTGTGACCTTTCCTGGCTGCCCTATTTAAACCACCATCCTTACCTCCCCCAGCATCCCAACATTCTCTATCCCCTTCTCTGATTTGTTTTCCCTCTGTTGCTTTCTCATTGTATGGCCCATGATTCTATTATACTTGTTCATTGTCTACCTCTCCCAGTAGAATGAAAGCTTTTGGAGAGCAAGGATTTCAAACTGTTCTTTTCATTGCAGAATCCTCTGCATCTACAACAGTGGCTTGCACCTGGGATGATTACAATAATTATATGTTAAATGAATTGGATGAACAAGTGGACCTATAGAAGATGATTTTTTTTACTATAAATCATAGTCAAACAAGTTTGAAAGCCAGAGTCTTACACAGAAATATTTTTATAAGTTTTCATGTAAGATTTGAGTGAGAAAGGGCTGTGGTAAGATATAAAATTAAACTCCTGTATCTGGCGAGACCCTAGGTTCCCTTTGCAGTGTTGCTGGCAGCTGAATGGCCATGTCAAGAACAGGCTGGGGGGTGTGACTTGAGAGACAGTTTAAACACATTCTCCACCTGCTTATACTCCACATGGCTGTTGTCTGAAAGGTTTCCCTAGCCTTTGTTAGATAAAACAAGCATTGAATTTCATCTTGGTGTATGCGTATATGTTTGCGTGTGTGTGTGTGTGTGTGTGTGTGTGTGTGTGTGTGTGTGTGTCTGTATGGTTTCTTTCCATCAACCACATGAGACAAACCAGCATATAAATAAATAGAAGTGGGACTCATGTTGAAGCATGATGTTTGAACACTGACATTCAGAAAATACAGAGATTATAAAATAATTTATAAAGTCTCCCTATTAGATTGAGTTCAAAGAGAGCAGGGGAGCATATTTAATTCATTCTGTAAAACCCCATGCCTCTCATGATGCCTTCTACCTTGCTCAGTCATCAGGCTGCGTGTACCAGCGGATTTGCAGTACTATGGGACGGGAGCCTTCCCTGGCATCCCCTGCTCTCGTTTGCTTTCTTTTGGAGTTCTGAGTTTACAGCTTCACACACCAGCTCTTAACTATATTCTGTAGTGGATTATTGTGTGCCATTTTTCAATAATTTCCCTTCCCCATTTATATTGTAGAATCTGAGGGGATAGGAATTTGGTTTATACCTGTTGTCTTGCATAATTACACACAAGCTTCTTGTCTTCTTAGCACTCAATCCCACTGGAATTTTCCTTTTTAAAATTTTACACTTACAATATTATTCTTTTGCAAAATCTTGTCATTTGGAGGGTTGAATTGCTATATAGCAGTTTCTTTTAGATGAAGGAATCACACCTGTTTTTTCTCTGAATCTTTGAAACTGGATTTCTTAGAGTCTAGGCCAGTGTTGATCACGCATTCTCCTCCATCCACTGAATCAGAATCACCTGGAACTGCTTGCCAGCCATGCAGACTCAGACCTACTGACCAGGTGTACCATGGACCTATGGAATCAGATAGTAGTGACATCCAGGAACATGCACTTTTATAACAAGATCTCCCAGTGAGCCTTGGGCATGACACTTTGGGACCACTTGTCCTAGGGTATATCATAGGATGATGCAGCTCTCATTATTTCCATGGTGTCATCAAGTGGTCTGTTGGTCAGAATTGAGTCAAGAGTCTGGTCCCCTTACAGCTTTCTCTGCCTCCTAAATGATGAAGCTATGTGTATAGTGGATCAAGAAAAAGTAGCCCCTACTCTGATTTTGGCAAAGCAAATCTGCCAGCAGTTGTCTGGACACCGTCCCCCATCACTGCTAGGTGCTGCCCTGATCCTAGTTCTGATACATATTAGGATTTTGTACTTTTTTTGCGGGGCTCACAATCTCATTGTTCCAAATGACGTCTCATAATTAAATCTGCAAGTCCTGAGCTCAACTGCCTGGGCTTGAATCCCACCCAGTCTGCTACTTATGAGCTGAATTACTTTGGGTAAGTTCCTTAACCTCTCTGTGTCTCAATTTCCTAATCTGAAAATAGGGATGATAAAAATAGTATTGACCTCAAAGGCTGTTGTGAGGATGAAAACAGTAAACATACGTTAAATGCTTAGAAATAGGTTCTGGAACACAGTGTTAAAGGGTTGCTCCTATTATTATTATATTTGGCAGTGGCCTCTAGTTCTCTGGCTAGAACAGAGGGAAATGGTCTCCCTTTCCGTGCTCTGGACAGAATTTCCATGAAATGCAGCCACCTGTTTAAATGAACTCTATTGGCCTAGCAGCTTTTCTGTTCCTGGGTGGAGCAGGTCAGTTTGGTGGCCTAGGCTGCCACAAATGTACTCACTCTCTGAAAGCCCTCAGCCATCTTAGGTCTGTGTTGGCATCATTGGCATTTTTGCACTTGGACATTTTCATGTCTTTTGTTTTTTTTTTGAATTGCCTTGGTCCTACTTGTGCCAGCTTTCCAAAGAACACAGCTCATTGTTTCTTTTTCAGCTGTTGCTCTTCGTCCCTGTTCTTATCAGACTCAGACAATAGAATGCACTGCATTGTTTTGATTAAAAGAGTGAGTTTCCTTACTCTGGAGAAATTACAAATGTGAGTGGGAGACCTCACGTTGTCAGGCATGCACAATGCTTTCTTTATGCCCTTTAAAACATTTGGAGAGTCACTTCAGATAATTTTTTCCAAAACATCATGGTGTCAGAATTAAATGAGAAGGGCTTCCTTTGCCTTGAGGATGCTAGGATGCTGTCACAGGCACAGACATGAATTTTCCCCCTCTCTGTTACAATAGTTGCACCTTATTTTAAAGTATTGTCTAGGTTTTCTATTCAAATGTCAGTAATTGTGATTCAAACAGAGAGAATGGCACCTTTTTATTTAAAATAAGATTCAGGCTTTAGAACTTAACAATATATGATACTCTGCCTTATAACAAACTCCAAATATTCCTGGGCTTTAGAAGCATTTCTGGGGTTATATTAACATTCTGTCATAGTTCCCTCTTGGATCATGTAGCCACCTAGTTTTTGGATGATTTCAAAGAAGAAAGCTTAATTTTTATTTACAGATCCTCAGGGTCTCAAAAAGTGGCTCCATTGCTAAAGGACAAAGCATACTATTTCAGAAATATGTCCTGTGGTAGTATATATATAAGCAAAATTTTATCAACAATTATACAAACACCATCCTAAAGAAGAGGGATCCTAAATTCACTACTGTCTAAATTCACTAAAGTACTCCATGTGGTACTTTCTGAAGTCCTTTTATATCTGAATAATTCTTCATGTATAAAGACACTTCTCTAGTGGATGCCCTGCAATGCTTGTATGGATAACTGTCACTGGTCACTACTCTATGCTGCCATGACCCTAGTTTTGAACGTTCATCAGGCCCCCATTTCCTTGGGGCTCAAGTCTCTAAGGCAGGGGGTCCATCTCTTTGATCTGGGTATGCCTCCTGCCTTTTAGCAGCACTGGAGTTTTTATGTTTCCTTCCACCTCAGTGAAATTCATGTCAACTTATATGACTTGATCATATGTAATAATAAAAAGGTGACAGGCATCCAAAAGAATTATGACAGCAATGGATTATAATATATTAAATAAAATTTTTGAAAAATTCATGTCCCATAGTAATACTTGAGAGAGAGGGGAAAAGAAAAAGAATGAAACCTCTTGTTTACAGAAGAGTGCTAGATAATAAATGTATAGGAATGAATGACTTTAAAATTACCATTTTGTAACTGCCTATAATAACCATTTTGTAACTGCTAGTAATAACTGAATAATCAACAGATGCTGAAACCAATGGATGAAAGGTTATTGGCCGAGTGATACAGAAACTCAAATTATCCCACTATGATTTACTTATTAATGACAGAGGGAAATAGGCACCCTTATGATGAAGGTCTGTCGGTCACCACCTTAACCAACTGGCCAAGGAATAGGACATGATATGCCTCCCGGTTTGATGCAGTGGGAGAGACACAATGTCTCCTTTGCAGTGTTCTTGCAGAACTGTTAACCTAAATCTAGTCATGACAATACAATCAAATGAATCCAGACAACTGGCCTGGGTCCCTCAAATGATTCAGTGTCATACAGAACAGAGGAAGGCAGGGAGGGGAAAGTCCTGGGAGTTGGGATGGGAGGTGAGGTTGGGAAGACTGGGGACATAACAACAAAAATGCAATGCATAAATTTTGATTGAATTCTTAGTTTCAAAAACTCTATAAAAAACATTTTTATTTGAATATTGACTGCATGTTGGATAATATCATTAAATTCATGCTGATTTTCTTGGTTGTAATGGCGTTGTAGTTATGTAGAATGTCCCTGTTTTGGGGGAGATATATGCTGGAATATTGTGGTATGAAGTGTCATGATGTCTATAAACTTCTCTTCGATTGTTTAGCAAAAGGGAAATTGGTTGAATATACTTGCATATATAGAGACAGGGTAGGCTGACAAGCTGTTAATAGGTGAATCTAGGTAAGGTGTATAGGGGAGTTCATAGTTCTATCCTAAAGCCTGAATCCTCCTTTCTACTTGTGAGTGGAAAGGCAAATGGAGAGTGCATCCAATTATCAGTTCAAAATTTCAAAAGAAAAATATTTAAAATGAGATGATGTGACACAGTATTTTAAGGATGGTCTAAAACAACAAGCTTGCTGAATGTTAGCTTTTAATTGTGGTAGTGCAGTGTAGATGATGCAGTGTGACTGAATTTGCACAAGGAGGTATTAATCCCATTGGATAGACAGAGACAGAAGCTTGTCGAGGTGGTGTGACTTGACTAAGGTTGGTTACATGCACAGCCAGGATTAGAATCTAGGCTTTTTATTTCAACACCCAGCAGTCTCTCTACTGTGGCTTGTCACAGGTGCAGCCTGGAATTTTGTCATCCTTTATTGGGCATCCTTTCTCTGTAGGGTCTTAGAGAATTATTTGCCATGACCTTTCCTTCTCTTTGTGGAGTTCAGACATCAATCAAGGTTGTCTCCTTTTTGAGACTGGTATTAACAGTCATCTAGAATATTTTAAAGGTAGTGCAGCCAAATCCTGTTTCAGCAAGGGAGACATTACAAGGTGGCCTCTTGAAGAGATTTAATGAAAAGCCAAAAGGCTATAAAGGGACATAAGACTATAATGCATAGTTTTAGCATTAGCCCCACTGAGCTCTTCAGCATCAAGCAAAGTGTTTTGTTTTCATTAAATGAGCTCACAGTTGGGACAGATTTGAGTGGGGGGAGAGCAGGAAAGCTTCCAGAAAAGCAAAATCTCAAAAACTCAAAATCTCAAAAACCACTAATGAAGAGAGGCTTGCTTTCATTATTTTCTAATTAGAGAATTAAACTTCATAGTAGAGAAAATAAGGTTTTCCTCTTTAAGCGTAACAACCTTTTTCTAGTGGGGTGCTCCACATGATCTTTCACTTACAGAAGGGCCCATTCAGCTGAGAATAAGTGCCAAACAAATGACGATCTCTCCCCTTCCAGATGAAGGGTTGAGAGTGAGGAAGGGGATGGAAGCACAATGTCCCCAGGGCTCTCTGAGAGAGATGGATCCACAATCCACGTTAACTTCAGAGGTGGGGCAATTGCGCCCTGCTGGTAGGTACTATTAGTCTTAAAATCATAACTAACATAAATTAGTGGTCCTAAAATAAAAATACCATGTAGCTCTTGTGTGCAAATGCTGAGATGTGATGTGTGAAAAGGAAACTTTGGTTGTTCCTTGAGTTTGGTGGGGTGGCAGAGTCTTGTGAGCTTGTAGAACCTAATGGATTATCTCTACATTCCTTTTCTTATTGATCTTCCTCCAGGTCTTCTGCCCTTTCATTCCTATTCTACTTCACTCTCACCACTGTACATTTACTTGGGAGGAGTACCTATTGGTTCCTGATTAATTTTAGATTTAGGTCAAAATCAAAAGGAGTCTTGGATATGAACTTTGGATGAAGGCTACGCGATTGGGTGGTTTCTTTTTTCTTTTTCTTTTTCTTTTTCCTTTTTTTACCATGTTCATAGTGACTTCTAAGCCTTTAACCTCTTATCCTGGCATTCAAAACTCTCTTTAATTCAAAGTCTCCTCCACTCCTTTTTATCTAAACGTTTTTAACCGTATTTCCTATCCCTTAAGCAGGATGTTTACTCCCAATGAATACGCCTCATCCTGTGTTTCTCCTTTCCACAGCCATGCTTTTGCTCATGCTGTCCTTTCACTTGGATTACTTGCTTTCCTTTTCTTGGTATATGGTACAACGTAATGATGAAGACTATTACTCTGGAGCTAGACTGTCTGGGTCTAAATCTTGACCTTGGTCAAATTACTAAAGCTCTCAGTGCCTTGGTTTTCTTATCTAAAAATGGGGCTGATAGTCCCTACTTACTAGGGTTGCTGTGTGACTTACATGAGTTTTTAACCCATTTCCCGTTTAGAAAAAAAAAAGTGCAGCTCGCTACCAGCGTTAATTTAATTTTACATAAAAACACTCTTTGAGGTTGAAAAATCTATTTTCAATGTGAAAATAAAATATAAAAACTGTTCTTGGAGTTATTTCTAAACAGAACTTGTCTCTAATCCTAATGTAACAGAAATGTATACATAAATCGAATTCATCAAATGAATCTTTGGCTAATAACTGTTTGAGAATGATGTTACCGTCACATGTAGGAATGCTACATTTTCTAGGATTTGACATTTTCAGCGATTGAAAATTACTATATTTTGTAAATGGAAATACCGCTACTAATAACAGAATGCTATAAATAGAATGATATCATTTGTTTCCAAAGACTATTGATATACTAGAGCAATGTGAAAATAATAATAAAAGCAAGATATTTCATGGCAAACTTTGGGGGTAAGGTTAGGACTATAACTCATGCTTTATCTCAGGGTGAATGCTGCAGCCACAAGTGCCGCTGGTGAGTATTCTCAGGGCAAACGGGAAATGAGTTAAAAAAGTACTTTAAAACAGTGCAGGCCTTTAATAAGTGCTGTATGAATATTATAAATGTTACTGATTCTACGAAGTCTAACTCCACCATGCAGCCTCCTCTGAGTCTGGGATGGGCTTGAGAGTCTGCATTTCTAACCAGCTCTCAGAAGATATGGTAGATGCTGGACCATAGTTTGAATAGCAAGGTCTTAGGAAAGAGCATGAAAGGGATGGAGCCTGTGAGCATGGTAACCTGATGAGTGATGGTCAAATAAAAAGACATTATTTTCAAGTATTAGGAGATGTAGGGAATGGGCATAGATGGTGTTGCTTCAGAGACAATGTCAGCAGGTTCCAAGAGGAAGGTGAAAAAATCAGAGAGAGAGAGCAAGAGAGAGCAGAGTCCATTGATAAACTACTCTACCTACTTGGAGAATACCCTTCCAAACTCTTCTCAGTTGAAACTTGAAATATTTGTGCTCTCTTTTAAACAGGGCAGCCACTCCCCTTCAGGCTGTCTCTTCCCGGCTTCAAAGCATTCCATTGATGCAATGAACAATTTCATCTGCTGGAAATTTGGTCACTGTAAATCCCTAGGGCCCATTTGATTAATTTTAAACTGAATAGATTGGTTGGTTTTCATGTGAACATGTGACCCAGCTTGGATCCCATACATCTCCTCTCACCTTTGGCATTTTAGGTCAAAAAGAATGTCACCATCGAGTGAGGGGCACAGAAAAAGATAAGAAGGAACTCACTTTAAGCTAGAAGTGAGAATAGCAGGAGGCTTTATAGCAGAACCTGAATCTGGGAGTTTACTCACAGTGTTATGGATTCGTTATTCATCCCTCGAAAAGCATTTCCTGGTATGGTGGTGATGTGTAAGTTATCGCAAATTTCCCTTGAGGAATGAAATGAGAAATATTTACTCTCCAAATTTGAGCTGCAAATAGGAAACTCTTATGCATAGCAATCAGCCTGGTACTTACAGAATGAAATTAAATTCTGAGGAGAAGATCTTCGTAACATCTGGAAGCTTTCGGATGCCCGTATTACAGATGCTCCTGTGATTTGGGGCAAGTAGGGATGTGGGCAGAGAGAGTAAGTGATTATTATTAAGGCAAAAAGATAAAAATAGTAGAAAGACATTTTGCAAATACTGTTTTCACATTAAATTAGAAAAAATATTGAGTTTGGCTCTATTAGTTACACTTTAACTGTTGACGATTGTGAAAATTTAAAAGTCCCTAACGTTATAGGAGAAATTGCTCTAATGATTTGTATTTAGAGATCTAGGGGCTGGAACCAAACTTTCAGGTATTTTTTATTTATATTTATTTTTCCAGCCTGTCTTTTCCTATAGCATCAATTGCATTTTCCTATAGTATTGCATTCCAATTTCCTTTTGGTAATTAGTTTATGCCATGCTCTTGAGAGTTCTAGAAATCCCCCTAAAACAGCTTTAAGCTCAAACACTTTGGGAAGATTATTCTCCATGTTAGCAATCCATATCTCTCATTATTAAAAATCTTCCTTTATTTAGCTACTGTACGATTCAGGAAGTTCTTCCTTCTATCTCACTGAAATCATTACACATGCTTTTGGTTATTTAAGCTACTCAAAGCTTCTCTTCTTTTTCTCCCACCTTTTATTTAAACTTCAAAGAAGAGATAGGCTTCAGTGGTAGGTTAAATTAAAGGATATTTTATTACGCAAGAATGAGAATCCTTTAGAGGAGTCTAGGATTTCCCCCAGCCAAATTTTAAATTTACCATCATGGACTGTGGACCACTGACGTGAACTGCCTGGCACCCTGGTGACAGTGAAAGGTTTCTCTTTTGGCTTTCTCTGGTTCTCCTCCTTACTTGTTACCCAGATCACAGTGAATCCTTGCCCTGTTTGTGACTGGTGATAGCAGTGTGGGCCTAGGCTGCAATGTGTGCTGGAGTTGGGGGAGTATCACTTTTTTGGGGGTAGAATGCTATTCAATAAAGACAATGATTCTTAGTTAATAGGGGGCTGCAGTTATCAAATTTGGTTCTGGGATTTTCTTATGCTTTCTCAAAGTGGTTAATGCTGACAGGCTTATGTGTACTGTAGAACCCTTGAAGGTTTGGAAAAGCAGAGCACCTGGGTTAGAAATCATCCAGCTTTGGAGCTACCAAAAGAGCTACTGTTAGTGCCAGCCACAGCTCCTTCAGGGGCCCCAGAGCAAGACTGCAGATGACATGGAATGCCAGAGAGATGTCCCCACCATATTTGGGGAGTTGTGGACTTTACATGCTCTGGAGATTTTGTGAAATTTATCAGGAATAAGAGAGAGAAAATATCTTTGTTAGAGGGATTCAAATTTTTCTGTGTAAATAAGTGATTATTGGACATAGTGCTAAATTATAGATTGTTTCAAATTTCAGAGATTTTGGTAATGCTGGCATGGCAGTGAATCTATAGGGCTATAACTAGTTGTACTCAACTTATAATTCTAACTAGTGGGCTTACTCAGAGTTGATGGAATAGAAACTACTGATTTAGTTTACATGGCACAGTGACTATGTGAAGGCAATACTTAAAATGTTTTCAGGTAATGAATGAATGAACAAACAAGATAAAGGAGATCAATAATTCTCAACCTGGGATGAGAAACGCCTCTCCCACTTTCACATATCCTCTGTCCACATCACCACCTCACCTTAGAGATTCAAATGGATCCTTTTTAAAGTGTTATGACCCCATTCCCCATTAGCTTTGGAAATCACTGCAAAGAGGTGATAGTCTCTCAGGTGTCTGGGACAGAGAAAATGCTGGGAACCACTTACAGGTATTTGGAAGCACCCAGCATGATGGTTGATAAAAAATGCTGATTAAATCAACAGACTGAAGATAGACATGCAAATAATGCTAAGAATGTGCTTAAAAAAATTCTTCCCAACATTTTAATTGTTTTGATTTACAGCAGATGCCTATCTTCCCATCCCCAATTACTTAAAGAAATTTCCTCACAGGTATTTTAACCGGGGGAGACTTGTAAATGCTCCAGCCTCGATGTATAACAGGTTTTTGGTGTTCTGGATCAGTCTGTAAAGAGAAGGGGAAAAACAGGCAGCAGTTTACTAGATGTGTATTGTTTGGAATGCATGGTCACCAGAGGGTGCTGGTTAAAACGGCATAAACAAAATCAAGTGGAAGCAGCGTGGTGAGAGCCAGTTGGCTATTTCTAGTAAGCTCTGCTCTCAACCTCCTGCCAAGGCAGGCACATTATAGCTGAGAGTCTGTTCCACTCCCCAGCCCCTCTTGCCCTCCCAGGCAGCATCAATGTCCACGGCTCCTGGCCAAGTAGGTCTTGTCCCACTATGGAGATTCTTGCCCCGAACACGGGGTGTGATGGGAGATTCTGCTCCCAGGAGAGATGAGGTCATGAGCTACACTTCCTTGCAGGCAAACTGGCTCTCTTCATGTTAGGGCGGTGGCCACACTGACCAATTATCCAATGGGCACCCAGTCTATGGAATAGACAGGGCAGAGTCCAGGGGCTTGGATTTAGGGGATTTTGTGCCTTTTCTGTAGATAATTCATTGTGTGATAATGCCCAGTCTCCTAACTTCCCTAAGCTAGGGTTCCCTTTTGTAATATTGGAATAATCATACATACTTGTTCTACTTCACAGGTTGTAGGCAGTGAGTAATAGAATATGTAGAGATAATGTATGAGGCAGGGCTTTGCAAAGTACAAAATTATAGCTATAACATCACAGTTGTGTTAGCGTCCTTCTCCCTAGTTCCATCAGTGACTTTGACCCTTTGAGAAGTAACCGCAGTTGTCGGGTCCTGTCTTCTTTAGATTCAATAAAACATCAATAAATGCCTTTGGCTTTTTAAACTCATTCAACAACCACCTGAGAAAATGATAACTACTCTTGTTCCATAGAGAAAATATAGTGTATTGGTTAGGTGTACAGACTCTTGATTCAACTTGGTTTTACATCCTGGTTTTACTAATTTATGACTTTAAAGCTCAGTTTCCTTATAGGATGGTTTTTAAGGAATGAATATGTGTGTTTGGTTCACAGTAAGGCTTCAACCAATGTTAACAGTTATCATTGTTGATAAAATCAGAAAGTTAAATGATTAGTCTCTAGTTACACATCTGAGAAACAGCAGAACTTGGAGGTGAACCCAGTTTTTTCTGACTCCAAGTCTAGTGCTCATTTCACCTTACTGTAGTTACCCACCATTGGTGCCTATTTCCGTCTTTTATGTCCTTTTGAGCCTTTAGAGGTAAGTGATATTTTGTTGTAATTAGTTTTTACAACAGCTGGTCAAGCAATCACAAGCCATATAAGGCATTATGTGGATGGGATGGAAAGGACTTTTATCTCTTAAGGATCTTTTGGGGTTTGACCTTAGACCACTCATCCATCCATTCATTTATTCAACAAACATTTATTGAGCTCCTATATGTGCTGGGCACTGTTTAGGTGCTGGGGATATAACTGTGAACAAAGCAAAGAGAGCCTGTGTAGAGCTAACATTCTAGTCTCAGGGCCTTCCTTGGGAAAAGTACATAAACATTCCCATAGAACTTTATTTTTCTTTCTGTTGAAAAAAAGCTGCTCTTGTGATTCTCAGTTTACGCTGTGCTTCAGCATCATTGGTGAAGTCTGTTAAAACTACAGATTTCTAGGTTTGGGATAGGACTGTCGTCTATGATTGAAATGAACCCCTATCCCCCATGAAATTCTACTTCACAGCCGAGTCCAGGCTATACAGTTTGTACTTAAATACCCATTATTTTCAATTTCCCTATTATTGTTTGTGAGTTTGTCTCACTTCCCTGGCCACACTGTCATCTCCTGTGGGAGATTTGTATTTTTACCTCCTCTCTATTTCAGCAGCACTTGGCCCTTGGTTGGACATGTGGCGGTTACTCACATACCAATCAGTTAACTATTCTCTTTATATAAATGCTAATCAGACCATTCATTGGGAGGCCTTGTGGTATAGTGGAAAACGCACAAGTTTGAAGAAAGACGGGCTGGGGTTGAATCCCAAGCCTGCCATTGTCTAAGGTGCCACATTGGTTAAGTTGCTGAGCTCTCTGAGCCTCCCTTCCTTCCCCTGAGCAAAAGGTATAATTACTCCACTGTACATGGTGGCTGTGAGGATTAAATGATACAATCTAGAGGAAATAAATACCAAGCACAGGCTCTCAAAAACTGTTGCTAACATCCTTCCCCTTCCCTTAACTTTTTAAACTCCTGTGCAGGTAAAGTTTGTAGAAGCTCAGGTTTGCACCAAACAAGGCAGCAGAAAGAGGACTGGTTTAGGAGTCACATGTCTGATTTATAGTCCCAGCTAACTTGCTGTGTGACATCAGGCAAGTCAGTTAACCTCTTTGGGATACAAGTTCATCCTCTGAAAACTGAATTAAGCCACTTTTCTCCCATCCTTTTTATAAATTGGAGGAAAATGATAATTTGGAAAGGGTAATTTTTAAGAATCAATTCTAATAACAACTCTAACATACACATGCCCAACACAGGGCTTTTACAGGGCTTGAATGGTAGGTATTCAAGAACCATTTATTGAATGAATAAATATGCTCAAACAGCCCCCAGTGAACTAGTTCATGCTCTCTAAGCTCCTTTCCAAATTTTCCCACCACCTCCTTTCCATAAGGTAGGAGCTACTTGGCAGTACTCCACAATGTCAATTTTAATTTCCAGCTTTGTGTTGTGATGTTTCAGAGTTTATACAGCTCTCAGGGAGAAGCAGTTGTCACCATGGCAACCTTCAGGCCACTGCAGTGAGAGAGATTAATGCCTGCCCAGACCTGGTAATTGTATAGTCTTTTCCTCTTGGATCCCTAGCAGTGGATGCTTGAATACAAATACCCAGTGGTCTCCAGCCAGTCAGAGTAATAGTGTGCAGCAGTAAATGATCTGTTAGCTGATGCTTACATTTCAGACAAATTGAGGAGGTTGTCAAAGGCATTAGCTTCTATCTTTTCCAGGGAATCACTCTGAGAGATTTCACTAGGAGAGAGAGGGAGAGAGAGAGAGAGAAAAAAAAAAGAAGAAACATGAAAGAAATGACTGTATCTGCATCATAATAAGCTGTGTGTGTGTGTGGCTGACAATGTGTCCTTTTAAAAAAGAACAGGGATGCCTTAAGCTGTCCTCACACATAAAGTGTTAACATCTCCCTTTAGAAGCACTGATGGGCATCTACAATCCAGGTGTAGCTGAAATAAAAGTTTCAGTAACCCCTGTGTATGTGAGAGGGTTTTTTTTTTCTTGTTTATTATGACTCAGAATCACAAATTACTAAAAGCGGACAGGCCCTTTGAGAAACTCTAGTCAGATTCCCTTGTTTTACAGCTTTGAAAATTGAGGTTCTAAGAGAAGAGGCACCTGGTGTTTATGGGAAGGTTTCAGGACCAGGAGCAGGATATCTGGGTTCCCAACTCCATCACTCTAGTGAGGTTTTAATTTAGGTTGAATTCATTGTTTCATAACTCTCTCCCTTTCCCCAAATTCTATTTTGAGGCAATTGCAAGGTGGTCAACTGCTGCACATGGTATCTTTCTTGGGTTCTATTTCTTTGACTCTTTTTCTCACCATTAGCAAATTGAGAACAAGGGGTATGCCCTATTCACTTTTGAATCCCTGGTGGCATCAAAATACCTGACACATTGGGTATGAATGAATGAATGGATTAATGAATGAATTGGTTTTTCTTAAAAAAACAAACAAACAAACAAAAAAACTAAAGGAATCAGCTTTGCTGTATACCACCTCCAAGCATGTAATGTCAGTGTTACCATAAAATTCTAACATAAGCTACTATTTGCTGCCAGCTTGGAAAAAAGCCCCAAATTCACAAATTGTACATTTGTGTGTTTCTAAGGTTAACATTCACTGAAGCTTTCGCACTTGATGAGAACTTTAGCTGACAGAAAGGCTGAGCCTAAGGCAGTTAACGTTTTTTTTTTTATGAATAGTACAGTAATGGATTGGTCCTGGACTGATTCACCTTATTCCTACCTAGTGGTTTACTTATTTAACTGTGTCTGCTTTTCTCTTTAGGAGGTCTTAATGCATTAAAAATTTTCAAAATTTAACATTTAAACTTGGGAGCAGAAGAATAAGGATTAGATTCCAGCAAACTGACATTCCTGTAACTTGCAGTGAATTTCCTATAATAGGTACTAATTCTTAAGGAATTATTTTTAATATTCTCACTGCTTGCTAATATCATAAAGAGCAGTCAGAAGTTCCTCAAGGAGTTTTGGAGGCCCATGGGATTGTAAAGATCAGCGATGCTCTCTGGGAACTAAAAGGCCCCTTAGGTCCTTTGACTCAGACTAACATTAAGGAGGATGCTGGCTAGAATCCTGGAGTTCTGAGAAAGTTCTATCTCATGTATGGGGTCTTGGGACCTAGAAGCTGAAGACCAGGGACAAAGCATTGAAGTTACATCTGACACAAATGTGAGATCACACTGCCTTCAGGCTGCTTTACATTTTGGTAAATGCCTTTTATCAATATGGCTATAAATATTGTGTTTTTGTCATATACTTATTATATTTTAGATTCAAAGATTATCTTCTCAAATACAATAAACTTCCAACACATTTTCTTTTATGTGAGTGTTATCTAAAAATGTGACTCAAGGGAATACTGCTCTAGGGGAGAATTTTTATGATTGGAATCTACCTTCTTTTCTACTTGAGAAGTATCCTCACTCATCATAATGCATTCAATTCAGTGATACAAGGTTAATTATCTAGATTTTAATGACTCTTGAAAATCATACATTTCTTCAAAGGTCCCTAGATATTATTTGTATTAAAAAGGTAAAAGTATTAGAGTTTCTTAAACACAGTTTCTCTCCTAGAAAAATTATCCCCTTTCAACTATGCTTTCTCTTAGAAAAAAAATTTATTATTCTAATTATGAATGTCTTTTGATATGCAGTCTCTTACTTACATTTTTATGACCTCATTAAGTCCTCTGAAAGCTTGAGATGGGATTACTTTGACAGGGAGATAGGTGAGTGATCTAGGGAAGAAAAAAGGAAAGCCAAGAGTTTAAGATTTGATTGGGTGCCTTTTAAGTTCATGAATAAAGTGTGTGTGTGTGTGTGTGTGTGTGTGTGTGTGCGCGTGCGTGCGCATGTGCGTATATTTGGGTGTGAGACTCCCGAGTTTGCAACAACTGGATTCAGGTTGAGAATCAAGGCTGAATATATCAATAAAGAGATAGCCCATGACTTATTCTCAGTATATATCAAAGAGTGTGTGATTTTGTCATTAAGATCCTGAGCTTTAGGATCAGAAACATATGAGTTCAAATCTCATTCTTTTACTACCTGGCTGTGTGATCCTGAGCATGTTATTTAAGTCCTCTGTTTCAGTTTCTTCATCTATAAAACTGAAATAATAATTCTTATTTCCCAGAGTTGTTACAATGATTAACTGATAACCCATGTAAAGCACAGGGCTTGGCACCAAGCAAATAGTTAATACATAGTTTTAGAGTGTCCCTATAGGCTTGGTTGGAAGGATAGAAAAGAAGCTCTCTTGGGTAGAGAAATGAATGGTGAAAATGCAGTTGGAAAGCAGGCAGACAGAAGGGATTCACTAAGAGCGTGCTCCATCTCCTCCAGGCAGCCTGTTTCAGTATTATCCCAACCAGAGCACTTGCTCCTATAGTTAAATCATATGGGCATCTCATGCCATTTTGGGGGAACATCTATAGAGCATTTCCTTCAGGCACTCGCTTATATCCAGAGGAACAATCTAAGTGTTCTTGAATTGAGATAAAAATTATACATTACATAAGAGTTGAAAGTAGAGCGATTACTTAGCAACAGCAAAACCAGAACAGGATGATGTACAACTGCTTAAAGGAACCTGAGGTTAAGATAACTCTGGAGAAAGGATCTGCCAGGCAGGGATGAATGTTCAGCCAACATTTATCAAGCATCTACAGTGGTTCAAAGTTTTAGGCCAAAGACTGACAGAGAGGAGGGGAGTGGACTGGCACATTTCAGATGGGATGCAGATATCAGGAATATGAGAACAGAGGTGGGAGATGCTGCCTTGCTTTTCATGTGTCTATGCAGCACAGACTGCCTAAGCTGCTGGGAAAGAACACCTCCTCCATCATGGGCAGATGTGAATCAGTGAGATGTCTTATAGTCCTTGAAAGGACATGCTACTAGTGTAAGGTGCTGTGTGAGTGATGCATACACATCTATAACCTTATTTTATTCACTCATCAATGGAGCGAGATGAGTATTCCCCTTAGATAGCAGAAGAAACTGGATCTCAAAGAGATTAAGTAACCCGAACAAGGTAACATGACTAAGTAGACAGAGTCCAACTGTTCTTTCCACTGTACAATATTGAGCCAAAGTATGTGATTCCTAACTTATTCTCTTTTTTCTTTACTTACCAACTTTGTTGAGGAATAATTGCTAAAAATAATTGTGTATATTTAATGTGTACAATGTGATTATTTGACATATACATAGATTGTAGAATAATTATCAAGATCAAGATAATTAACACATTCATCACCTCACATAGTTCTTTGTGTGTGTATGTATATGATTAGAACACTTAAGATCTACTCGCAGTAACTTTCAAGTATACAATACTGTATTATTAACTATAGTCACCATGCTGTACATTAGATCCTCAGAACTAATTCTTCTTATAACTGAAAATTTGTACCATTTGACCTATCTCTCTCTATTTTCCTCTCCCCCCAGGCCCTGACAACCATTCTATTTTCTGTTTCTATGAAATCAGCTTAAAAATTTTTTCTTTCAATTCCACATATAAGTGCTTTCATACAGTATTCCTCTTTCTCTGTCTGGCTTATTTCACTTAGCATAATGTCCCCCAAGTTCATTCCATGCTGTCACAAATGGCAGTATTTCTTTCTTTTTTTATGGCTGAAAAATATTCCATTATATATACATATATCATGTCTATTTATTCATTTTTTAAAGGACATTTATTTTTTATTTTTTCATATCTTGGCTACTATGGATAAAGCTGCAGTTAACATGGGAGCGCAGATATCTCTTTGAGATAGTGATTTAATTTCCTTTGAATATATAACTAGGTGACCTGCTCTCTCCGTGAGCATGGTGGAAGGGCAGGCATTGTAACCTTGCTTCTTTTGAGATGAGACATGTCACTATACCTTCTGCAATGCAGCTTACCAACAGTTCCTCTCAAGAGGCTGATGCAAAGAAATTTCATTTCAGAAAAATCCTTTCACTCAACAGTCTCTTAGAGATGGTACAACCTTGAGGAAGTAATCCAAACTTGGTCCTCTGAATCTATGCCCAAAGGCAGTCCCACCAAGCACATTGTTCAACACTCAAACTTATTTAACAGGGCATCCAAGAAGAACAGGGACAATGGGGGAGAAATCTTACGATGGCGTATTTGCTTCCCATATTTCTTTTGGAATCATGTCTGCTTGGCTTACTGATTAAAAACACAGTTTTATTGCTCTCTGCACTGCCAAGTCAATAAATTTCCAGAAGAAAAAGCTGTATTCTACTGTACCCCATGCAACATCAATAAAACTGACAGCCAAATTCTGATTCCAGAATCTTTATTGCTGGGGGTAATGCAGTGCAGAGCATATTTTGGAGAGTGTTTACATAAAAGCTTCAAGTGAACACTTCAGAGCCTTTTATTCATGCAAATGGAGCCCAGAAGCTGGAGCCTCTCAGCAGGCAGCCTCCTCCTCCACAAGGGAGCACAGGGTGGCTCTCAGGAGAGCCGTTTGGTTAGATTTGACCAGGGAGGTTATTTGAGCTTTTGATTGATATAGGAATGAGGGATGAGGAGCAAAGGTCAGACAGGAGTGAGAGAAGCTGTAGATCAATGCACTGGCCATCCCCAGTGACTATGGAACAGCTCTGGTGCAAGATGAAATTTTGCAGTTGATGTTGATGCCATAGAGCTGGAAAGGCAGAGTATTAGAGTTCCCACCATTAAAGAACCACTGAGCAAACTGCAGGTAGCTTTGTAGATGTGGCTGGGGCAAGATAGAGGCTTGGGGGCCAGTGGATGGGGAGAGAAATTGGCTGAGGCAGGAGCACTGAGCTTTTCACAGCAGACATAGTATCATGACGCAAGGTAGAGAATGTGGTTCTATGAATCCAAAACTGTTTTTTCCACTGATTTACACACACACACATTTTTTAGAGATGTCATGTTTTCACTTCTGAGGCATCTTAAATTGACAGCAGTTTCTAAGCATTCAAGTGTCTGTCTCTTGTATTTAAACTTGTTTGTTTAGCCCATGATTTGTTCATAACCATTTGAATGTATTCCCTTCAAAGGTGCTCTCTTCTTTGATGGATGTTTCTGTGAGTCTTTCCATGAAGCCAGAAACTTTTAGCAATATGAATTACCCTGCTATTCTATTCCTGCAAACATCCCAGAAAAATTCTCAATTACCCTGCTATTCTATTCCTGCAAACATCCCAGAAAAATTCTCACACTGATACTTAAGGGAAACTGTGCAAGGATTTTCTTCACAGCATTATGGCATCAGGCAGGTTGGAGGCAACCTTGGTGTCCACTACTGAGTGAAGGAATGGTAAAATGTGGACAATACACACCTAACTAATTGGTCAGCAGTTAGAAGCAAGAGTCTAAAGGTATACAGAGCATAGATCTTAGAATCATGGCTCTGAGAGAAAGAAGTAAGAAATTGATGATACATATATAATACTACTTGCAGAATTAAAATACATACACACCAAACAGACATTTTAAAAGAAAGCGTACAAACATACATTTGGATAGTTGCATATGGTGAGTCGAAAGGAAGTAGAAGGGGATAAAATAAATAACTAAAAACAGAGAAGGACTTTCAATGGACCAATTATAATGTTACCTGAATGAAGAAATATGATTGACTTAACCCTCTGTACCTGAGAGACAAATGGAAAAGAAAAAAAGTTTAATTTTGATGTATCGAGTTCTCCCTTTCTTCTCTTCTCTCTTTCCTCCCCTTCTCTTTTTCTCTTTCTTTTTCTTTCTCTCTTTCTCTCTCTCTCCTTCCTTCCTTCCTTCCTTCCTTCCTTCCTTCCTTCCTTCCTTCCTTCCTTCCTTCCTTCCTTCCTTCCTTCCTTCCTTCCTTCCTTCCTTCCTTCCTTCCTTCCTTCCTTCCTTCCTTCCTTCCTTCCTTCCTTCCTTCCTTCCTTCCTTCCTTCCTTCCTTCCTTCCTTCCTTCCTTCCTTCCTTCCTTCCTTCCTTCCTTCCTTCCTTCCTTCCTTCCTTCCTTCCTTCCTTCCTTCCTTCCTTCCTTCCTTCCTTCCTTCCTTCCTTCCTTCCTTCCTTTTCTTTCAAGTTAAGCCTACATGTATTCCAAGAATTTTGTGAACTTCAGGAACTCTTGTGGAAAGGTCTAGTCAGTATCATTTGATGTAGAGCAGAAGCCAGGGAGAACTGGGAGAAAATACGCCAAAGGAAAGTCAAATCAGCAGCTCTGCTATCCAGGGTCAAAAGAGAACACAAAAGCTATGCATAAAGCAAAGAAAAATAAAAGAAGGGCAGAGCCTTTTCTGTCTCAGACAGAGAGGGTGATGCTCCCAAACTATGCATCTTGGACGGGTGGTAGAGAACCAGGGTCAGTGGGCAAATGTGAAGTTGAATTTGCAAGGTGCAGAGTTCTCTTTGCCTCTTGAAAAGTGAGTGAGATGGCTGTGGAAGAATATGGCTGTGAGACCCTGCAGCTCTTACATTTATTACATTTTCAGTCTTTTTTACCTTGATTGTAAATGAATGGATGATGTAGCACAGGTGACACCTGGATTACGGCCAATCCCACCTTGCTCAAGTGCCTTTGCCACAGATGTTGAAAGAAATACTTAGATTGGATGATAAAGTTTGCCTTAGTTTTATCATTTCTAGAACTTCCATCTACTCATGAGTTTCACCTGCCAAACCCCCAGAGCACCAGGTATCAGAGCCCAGCACCAGAGGCTCTACTTACAGCTAAGCAAATAACATGCAGATAAA